CTCCGATACAATACAAAAATTCCATGTTTCTGCACACCTTCGACAATTTTCAATTTCAACACCATATATTTTTCTACTATGGCGACTGTCCCGATTTGTGAATGAACCATTTCGAACACGATGTCAAAGTCAGTTGAGATTGATATTGGAATTTCGGCATACTACGACTCCACCTGTCAATATTCCGCTGCGACTTCATATTCCAGATGATGCTATGTTTGAGAACATTCGAAAGTGGATGCTTGGTTTCACATCTTTCATCGTATCCATTTTCCACCTCTCCACAAACCACGGGCACCTATCATCCATATAAAGAACCAGACTTGGGGACAAGTACTTTTCAATTTTCGACGATTCCTGAAATGGTGGTATCCAGACAGAACACCGACTTGCACGTGCAATCGATTTCCAAGCCATATTCAACAAAAGAAAAAGAATACTCCACACATTGTCGCCTGGGCCTCAGAATGCTTTCCAGATATTCCAGAATTTCGTCACCACGCGGGCAGTGAAGTGGCACCTACATGGCGGATATTCCATTATCAAGCTACAGAACAATTCGAGAAATGGTTACGAAAATGGCGTTTACCCGCACACCTTCAACAATATTGGCAATATTTTCTGAATCAACAATGGAAACTATTTCGCGAACAACATGGACCTACACATCGTCGACAAAGTCAACTTCGCCAGTTACTTAGTCTATTTATTGCCACTCCAGCAGATCATTTTCCCAACTCCTTATTACTGATGTGCCCAGTTCAGTACCATATTCTACTTCAAAAAACTTTTGGCGATACAACAGTATTTCGACCGTCACATCTTGGTGCAGAAGAAATTATGACAAATATTCAGGAGAATGTGCCTTCTTGGATTAAAAAGCAGTATCGCTGGGGACTGAACTTCCAATATGCTTTGAGCACAGCCTACCTTTTGCCTAAACCCACACGCCAATTTGAAAAAGCAAGACCCATTGTCGACTACTCGCATTCTTGGTTAATGAAACTAGGTGGGTGTCTTGCTACAGCACTTTTGGAAATCAGTAGACCGGTATTCACCAATCTCATGCAGTTCACAGACGTTGAATCTATACTAACAGCTGCACGACACATTTTTGCAATCCACGACCTGGAGGATACCTTGGATATATTACAACAGGACATTGCTGGTTTCTACAATCAAGTTTCTCATGACCGTATCATCAACAGCGTGGAATTCACAGTCCAACGATTTATTGACCTTCAACAATGCCCACAGGATCAAGTTCTCAACATTACTTCACGCAAGCTAGAAAGGACACAACGATTATTTCGAGGACGTTGGAGAGCTCATAGCAAGCAGCATCATATCATTACACTCAACCACATTGTTGACTTAACGAAGTACCTCCTTCGCCATAGCTTATTTTCACTGGGATGTGTTAGCTACCGACAGATACAAGGCGCATCTATGGGCTCACAGTGGGCCCCAGTTGTATGTTCACTAGTTGCCCTACATCGAGAGCACACCTACAGCATGCTTTTTGGACAAGCCATTTTTTCTGAAAAACTTTTTAGTTCCTTTCGTTATGTTGACAACCGTCTGCTTTTGGGTCCACAACAACTCACTGATCGCCTTCGACAAACTTGCTTTTGGAATTTAGACTTCTACACCTCGCCCATTCTTTTGGAAGAAGTACAGGGTTTTGATGCACTTGGATTCAACATCAATCCACATCAACGTACCATTACATCGGTATTGCCTTGGGACACAGTGATACGCACTTCGCTGGTTTTGGACCTAGAAGCTCCATGTATACAGGTCTCATTGCTCGAACACGTCTAATTTTACAAAATACTTTTCCTCGTGAACTTCAACTTCCTCAAGTTCAAGACCTGCTCGCCCTTCATACCCTTCAGGAACCTAGATACCGCGAATGCATTCCTCAGATCATTTCGATTGCCCGCAGTTTTGGACACAAATGGACCAGACAACAATTGACACCGTTTGACTGAAAAGAAGCCGTCGTAGCTGCATTTTGGTTTTGTGCTTTTCATTCCAATTGCAACTTTGCAACTGTTCAAACGTTTTCTGCAACATCCCACCCAAAACGCCTGGCTCGCAGTGTGATATTTGTTTTCCGTAATTGATTATATTCAGTTCTCCAGCTTAGTTTACGTCCGTTGTTCTACTCTATATGGTTCACGGTACTGCAACACACTGGCTTAAGTGTTATATAACTGTGATTTAATCAATCCATTTACTGTTTTCATCACTGCGTTCTATCTCAACCACCTGACCTACGTGTTCTACGCGTCGGAATCTCAGTTTTTGGCGAATTCTGCCCTTCGTCCATAGACAACTAATAAACGTTCATTTTAAACGGATTTGTGGAAGAACAAGGATACAATCGATTTGTGTCCATTTCATTTCGTGGTATCCATGTTTCAATTGAAGTGCAGTTATCTTCACTTTTTAACACTCCAAAGTTATACTGTCCTTGCTCTATTTGTTCCACGCGTCGGCAACCCAGAAGTGTCACCTTCCTTATGAAGACATATGTATATATGTGTATACCGCTCTCCACACGCAAAGTGTTGCGCAATCTGCAACAAACAATTGATGTTCGTGAGGGACAAGGGAACGATAACTTTGGATTGCATCATATTCAATTATTTCGCTAATACAAACTTTGGATTGCATCATATTCAATCATTTCGCCAATAACAATTAACACCTTTTAATCTAACCATGTCCTTTCCATTTCGACTTTATTTATCGCGATTTCTTTGATCTACGTGGTCTACTTGCTCTACACGCCGCTACCTCAGAGTGCCTTCTTTGGAAAGACCTGTCCATGAAGATGCAGGTGCGTATACACCTAATCCCAAGCATGAATTTCATTTTCGAATGAGTTCAACGTTGCTTATATTGACGTGATCTGCTTGCTTCATTAGGCAGTCTTTCAGAATTTGCCTTCCATGTGAAGGCCTTTGTGTGTGTGTACACTGCTATTCACATGCAGAAAACTACAACTGGACATTTGATGACTATGCACGTTATGTTTTCCGAATTCATGCGCCAAAGACTATGCACGTTATGTTTTCCGAATTCATGCGCCAAAGACTACTTAACAGCAGGGGGCTGCAGGGAATGTCATAGTTCTGCAGCCAACGAAGACGGCTATGACATTCTGTGATATCGATCCGGGACGCTGGATCGACGTACCTGCCTAATCATGTCTTTCCATTTCCGCGATGGGATGTGGCTAACCCAAGAACCACCTTGCCGATTAATGATTTGGACCTGGTTTCACCTGTTTATCAAGGATGATGGACTCAGGAATTCTACCAGGCATGTACAACCACATCGTCATTGCAGTTCACTTCCAAAAATCAACAGTGTGTAAAGTGTAAATGCTCGAGAAGATTCAAGAAGATCTACTCGCGTAGCATAAATTCCGTGCGCAAAACAAAGAGAGAGAACTCTCGAGCGTAGCTTCAAGTATGCCTGCAACTGCAAGGACATGTTATTTCCCCACCCCACCCCCATCCATCTCAGTTACACAGAAGAGAAAAAGCGCGGAGAGATCAACATGAACAAAAATCAGCACGCACACACAATTAAAGGACTGGATAACCCCACATGCCAACTTCTTCCAATAAGTAGCAAAAGAAAGGTGAAGACGGGATGGGACAGGCAGGAAAGAGAAAGGAGATGGGTCGATGTCGCCAAGTGCCACGCCTGCCTGCCACACAGAATGGAGGTCGATGCTTCCAAATGCCACGCCTGCCACACAAACAGCCGCGGCGTCCACGGCGACAACGGACCCGAGCCAGCCCAGTGCCATAAGTGCCACGCCTGCCAAACACAAAGTGAAGGAGGGAGTTGTGTGTGAGGGAGTTGTGTGTGAGAGAGTTGTGTGTGAGTAAGTCGTGTGTGGAAGAGTTGTGTGTGTGAGTAAGTTGTGTGTGTGAGAGAACAGGCGACGGACGGATGGGACGGACGGGACGGGCGACGGCCGGGAGTGCACATTAAAAAACAAGAACCCCACACAAATATGTGGGGAACAGCAACGCAGCAATCACTACACGCAAGGTTTGGCACCCATAGGCGTCAACATGCATAGCAGAATGCAGTTCTACAATGTTCTATCCACGTCTATGGCAGAACCTCCTATTAAACAACAGGATACGTGGTCAATCGCCAAGACTTGAATTCACCTGGGTCGGTCCAAAAACAGGGAATAGTTCAATCCAAACTTGCGAATTGAATGGGACATATTATGATAGTCCACCGGCATTGGCGATAACCCCTTTTCTGACATAGCTGCAGAAGAGCTGTAAGAGATATACAGTGCAATATCATGTGATACATTAATTATCATACAGGTGTATATATATTATATATATATATTATTATACACATATATATTATTATACACATATATATATTATTATATGTATATAGGTATCGTCAAAACTGCACAGCTGCCCCTCAAAAATGGAACGCCTATAATATATGCATATATATATATTATGTATACACATAGACTCGCATAGACAAGCAATCCATTTGTTCACTCCCCAATGTGGAGACATTAATCAATCCTCCCGCCCATCGTCCCCATATTAGAGCACTAGAGATTGTTAGAACCCACGCTATTTCATGATTACATTGCCCGCCGGTTATCACATATAGCAAGCTGGGAAACCCTCTTTCATTGAATGTTTTAGTGGGAAAACGCCCCAAAGCCTTCAACATCACCCTGCCAGAGCATGCGGTTGGACGATGAAAAAACGATCGCACGGAGCAAGTGTGTGCAAGTTGAAGACCAAATCACATGATTACATTGTCGTGCTTATGATGCTTGGAAACCTCGTGATTTCTTGAGCATGTCACTTGGGCCATGAAAGCTTCCCAGGCTGGCTTGGAGGTATCCCCAGTATCCCTGTTATTGGTTATCGTAATCCCAAAATAATGGGGATGTATGACCATTATGAATCATTATGCCGTTATGCCTAATGGAACACACCACTATTCTTCGGAATTGTCTCCAAGAAACTCCTCTTCTCCCCGGCTTCGTTCACCTTGGCTTCTCAATCGAACATCTGTGTGCCACGCGGAACCGGACTGTGGAATTGAATGGCGCACCTCATATTCGACTGTATGAACATATGTGATATCATCAAATATAAGTTTATGCAATATGAAGCCGAATATGCCAACATGATCCAACATGTATGTCTGTCTGGCCGGCTGTCTGTCTGTCCGCCTGACTGCATGGCTGTCCGCCTGACTAGCTGACTGGCCGTCTGCCTGTATGTGTATTCTGATTTTATCTGTGGATGTGTTTGCTTTTGTTGAAGAACTGGTGGGTTGAATGTGAAACGTAAAAATGAACAATCGGATTTTGGGCCTGCCCCATCGTGGTGGGCAGCAGCAGGCCGCAAGAATTTTGCTGCATCGGGGCCTATTGCATTGTGAAAACGGCGGCAGGCCGATAACTACCCCAGAATAAATTATCATGTTGCTCCATGGTCAGTATCTCTGAAATCATTTTCTGCGCCCCCACTATTCATGGCTTACCGGTATCATGTGTTACCGGCATCATGGATTCGCAACCGCAAATTCCAAGTCACTTCACGGCGGAGTTCTAAATGGCAGCTGGCATCATTGGCGTCATCAGCAGCTGCCAGAACTAAAAAGACCCAGGCCCACATGGGACACGCCTGGGCGGGGCGTGGATATGCCCTGAGGGGAAAAAAATGGGGTGAGTCGATCGATAACCCCGAATTCTAATGGGGGAAAGGATGATAAAACACAGGATTTTGGGGTACCCTGCTTCCAGACAAACGCACATGATGCGTTTAACATGCGCAACTCATAACCTTCATTGCCAAGTCAGCACCGTGGGATTCAACGAAGGTATAAGAAAGGTCTTGGGTGGCCCCCATGCCACACAAACACCTTGATTTTTGTTTTAAAGAAAATGTTTGAGACAATTTTGAAAATTGGGACAAAGCAAGTTGTTGTGTAGCTGAAACTATCCCTACAGCTCATACCGGGTCCATGGTGGTACCACAAAAAAAAAAACAACACTACATGGCGTCCGGACACCCGGCCGAAATGAGGTTACAGTGACCAACGTTGTCCTTGTGTGCTTGGAGTCACTGGGCGCAAGGATATGCCATGCCTTCATGCATTTCACAAGTTGCTATATCCTGATGTATCTTTATGCAATGCAGTATAACTTTACATGTTCACATATCTGTGCACATCTTTTATACATATTTGCATCATATATTTATAATTATTTATACTTCTTTGTATGTCTGCCTGCGAAAAATCTTTATATAGCATGGCATGATAGATTCTTTCATATCATGTGAGTGTACGGGGGGTCAACATCCATCACTTGATAAACCAATGCTTGCCATCCGGACCCTCCGTTTAAACTCTAGAAATGATCGAACACTGACCACACTTGCACGTGCCCACTTGTGGCTGGGGTCCCTATCTTGGATCCGCACTATTGGTCCACTCATGAAGGTTCGGTCGTGCTTGATGTGAGCACGGCTGCGGCAGCTGTTGAAAATTACAGGTATAGCGGCAAGGTTCGCAGTCACGTGTATGTGCGAAGAGGCCAAAGCTTTAAGGGTCACAAAGGCGGTCATGAGCAAATTATGTTGCAGGTAGTTCGCTATATCGCTTTTACGTGGTTTTGTAACATGTCAAACAATGGTTATTGATTCGGAGACCCATTGCAATTCGTCTCCACGTCAAAAGGAGGGGGCTGTGCGGCTGTGCACTGTGCGGAAGGAATTTCCCTCAGAACAGCTTGGTTTTTGCACTGTTGCGCGCCTCCTGCTTCTGCAGTTTATGTTCATATCTTGGATCAATAAATCAAAACTGTATTCAATGGTAGGTTTCGCGGCCAGGCTGGGCCGCGCCAACTAGGTGTTTCAAAACTTGACGCAAGATTCAAATTGCACCACTCCTGGGATGGATTGGGTCTCTGGCTGCCCGCGGCCGCATGCGGCCACTTTTGGCAATTTTTGGTTATCGATACGTTATCGATTTGGAGTGATCGCTACGTAATTTTATCTGGTAACATGTGAAAGATTGTCTCTCAAGCACAGCCTCTGCTTTCTAGAGCCTGTGTCGTAACAGGTTTTGGAAGCAAGTTCTGTGGTCAGAAGTGCGTACTCTAGGCCTCTTGGGAGCCCCTGAATTCACAAACGAATACTTAAAAAAATACATACGAGGTCATTACGAGGTTACTATACAATCTCGAATGGCTGCGAACAACAACAACAACAACAACAACAGCAACAGCAACAGCAACAGCAACAGCAACAGCAACTACATACAACTACAGACAACTACAGACAACTACATACAACTACATACAACTACATACAACTACATACAACCACATACAACTACATACAACTACATACAACTACATACAACTACATACAACTACATACAACTACATACAACTACATACAACTACAACAACTACAACAGCAACAACAGCAACAGCAACAACAACAACAACAACTACTACTACTACTACAACTACTACAACTACATACAACTACAACTACAACTTCAACGTTCAACTTATCCATCAAGTCACGTTATCGCTTTAAGTAGTTCACCATATCGCTTTCCATGGTATGCGACACATTTTCAACCATAGGACCTCTCATGCCCCAGCTGGTGGCCTGGCAGACTCGGCAGCACTGGGCTCTCGGCATGGAAACTCCCCAAGTCCTTGGCACATCTTGGCACCTCCGGGAAGATATGGGTATGGATCAATACCTCTTAATACCATTTTTAGGGGAATGAACATCCATAAATCCCAGCTATTTTGATGTTCACCAGGGGTACAAGGTTTTGACACACTGCCATATGGCAGCATGGCAATATGATGCAATATGACAATTCCCCACTGAGCATTCCTGGACGGATGCATCCTTTTTGGCGGAGAAACCATTGGCATGTCTCAGCCCGTGAAACATTGGGACCCTTGTGCCAAACCTCAAGCTAGGTTGACAAGCCAGGGTGGTGGATCCAAAGATGCTGGGGATGCTCGCATGGATATACGCAAAATGAGCTGACAAGGTTCATCAAACAATATCAAAAAAACATGGAAAGGCGTATGATATCTAAATGTGGGATGGCTCTCTACATGTTTTTTTGATGTCCGGTGATCATCACCCTGTGGATCTGTGAAAACACTTCACGAATTCGGCGATCGCTGAAGCCACCGGTGAAGCCACTTTGTAACTTCATCCGGCAGATCGGAGGATTAACAAGGGGACCCTGCAGCCCTGCAGCTCAATCATTGTTATGCTCCTTGCTTTGGGGGGACGTCGGTCCCTATGGTTGGTGATTTGAACGAATCTCACTCCAAAACCAAAATTATTCTGTCACCAGCATTGACACCACCAACTGGTTTCACCCAAGTGTGGTAACATCAACTGAGGGTCATCGTCCAAGCCAGCGACTCATCAACCAGGAGGGCCAGGATCAGAGTTCCTTCGGAGCATCGCAGGTTGATGTGAATGGGTGGAGATGAAATGACCACGTACCCTGGAAAATGCGACGATTCTTTCTGGAAGATCTGGAAGATGTGTTGGCCACAAACAACACATTGCATGGCACAAGACATGCATAGCAGCATAGCATATACACCGACTCGCCGTAGTTTGCCAGCACCACCAACACTACCACCCCAGAACAACCACCAAAAATCTACAGCAACTCACCAGAATCGCAGGGCGAATCGTGGACTAAATGAGGACATGGTGTAACTTATATAACGATAGGACAGAATGGGACAATAGGGGTAGAACTGCTGCGAAATTGAAAAGACGCAATGATCAAAACGGCACAACCAGTGTAACCAGTGGTGGTACTTGCAGAAGAAACACTATGATCCTGCGAGCTGGTTGGTGGTTGAACCAACATTCTCAAGTTGTTCTTTTGCATGAAATTTCTCAGTTCAACACTCTAAGGATACCCATTCAAGGAAAGCCGATTATGACAAACCACCCAGCTAGATACATGCACAAGAATTTCTATGCATCAATCCTATCATATAGTCAACTGTTGAATTGGGTAGTCTTGCCAAGCAGACTTCAAAAAACATGTCAAACCACCATGTCAAATCATATCAAGGTGTTTGGTTGATGTTCAACACCTTTTTTCAACCAATACTTTGAAAACCGAAAACCAATGCCATTGCGTAGTCACCCTCACTACGCAACACCGCTCCCACCTTTCGGATCAACATCTCAGCCTGGCGGCCACCAAAATTCACCAATTTACAAGGTGGTGTCCCCTAGTTATAAATTGGTTAGCCCATTAACTATAGATATAAAGGGATATATCACCTATAAACCATAGTTTTGTTGGACTTATGTTAGCTTATGTTCACCAACTTAGCTATCGAACGGGGGCACCCCCGTAACGATGAAGTTCTGATGGTTCAGAATGGTGAACGAATCATGGCTGTCGGTCGATGCAAAAATGAATCGAATGAATCAATGGATATGAGATGATATGAGTTACTGACAGTGACTGTATATGAGTTGTTAGTGACCGTATATATGAGTTGTTACTCTATTCTTGACTGTCAGTAAGGACCTGGTGGGTGCAGCCGCACAAAGATATGGAACCAATGGAGTTGATACTTATACTATCTTATACAGTGAAAATCACCCCCAATTTCAAAGCTTCAAGTCACCAGCCAGATATGCACATGAAGGCAAAACAAGAAGCCAGTGTTCCGTGGATTTTGTTCACATTTCAGCGAAAAAACCTGTCAATTTCCAGTATCCAGTATCCAGCGGATTTTGACTCGCCACCTGAATAATTATTTGACATAGTTATTTGCAAACTGCGGTGTTCTGCTCATGTTTGGGATGCGGGAAGGCTTGATCTTTGGCCCTATCTCATTCATTCAGCAATGTGCTTGAAACATGTTGAAACCCGTTGAAACCTGTTGAAACCTGTTGAAACATGTTGAAACCAGAAAAATAGACTTGGATGAAGTGATGTTGTGAAGATGTGATGTTGGGATGATGTCGTGCAGCAACTTGCATGCAAGTTTTTTTTACCTCGGAATGCTTCCTCTGATGCCGTCTGATACATGAACAGATTCACCAAAAAACTGCACACCGATAAATACAGAATTGATGATGATAGTTTAATGATAATGAGAGGTAGATAGAATTAGATAGATTATTAATCGACTCCGTACATTTACGTCCTTTACACTAAATGTGATCTATACAAACAGCGCGATGGGGATCTAGATATGATAACATACACTCACCATCACTCACCCAATATGGGTCAGCACCTTGAAAACTCCCCGATGAGCGTAGAAACGACCACAGAAATGTCACATATGTGTGAGCTGTGCAAACCTAGCGATTCCTTTGCCGAATATTAACGTTCATTGTCTAGGAAGATGCCCAAGAAATGCCAAGTATATAGTGGTTGTTCAAAATCAAGAAATGCCAAAACATATATAATATGTAAAAATCAATTCTCTCATCCAATCCTAGTTGGGTTGCCAAACTTGACCTACACACACACACCTCCTGTTCACGTGCCTCGTGGTGCTTCAAAGGCGTCCACTGTAAAACTGCTGGCCGTGCTGTAGAACTCCGCCGTGGTGTGTGCCGTCGACGGCGGGGTTGGGCGACCTTCCTGCGACCACACCTTGCCATCTTGGCAGGGCTCAGCTATGCCACACCTCAGGCCGCAAAAAATGGGGATCTGCTCATAGAGCCATAGAGATTCAACAGCAACCTGGTCCAGCCATGTCCAGGCTATGTCTATCCATTGTTTCATCTGATCTTTGGATTCCTTTGCCAATTGCCAGGGTGCCTCCACCTTTGTAAGGCTATTTGGGGATGAATAGCAACCTAAAGCACCAACAACTGGCTGACCCTGGCCGAAACCAAAACGCATACAGCAACAAGCAGCTACACCGCGGGCAGTGAGTCAAACGGAAGATCCAGAAACCACAGCCTGGCCCGGCCCATACCTGTGATGACAAGATGTGAATACATAACTCACACCTGTCCTAAATGTCGTATCACCTCGATATCATCTGAGTTCATCTAAATTGACCCATGAATATCCATATCTAGATATCTCTCCATGTGGTTCGTTGTTCTTTGTTGTTACGTTCATGTGCATGTTAAACATACGTAACTGTTACGTTGATGATGTTCAGGGGTGGGGTGGGGATGGGATGTTAACGTCATGTTCAGGGGTGGGGTGGGATGTTAACGTTCATGTGCATGTTACGCTGATGATGTTCAGGGGTAGGGTGGGATGGGATGTGAATGTTCATGACATGTGCATGTTACGTTGATGATGTTCAGGGGTGGGGTGGGGTGAGATGGGATGTTAACGTTCATGATCAGGGGTGGGGTGGGATGTTAACGTTCATGTGCATGTTACGTTGATGATGTTCAGGGGTGGGGTGGGATGTTAACGTTCATGTAGATGTTACGTTGATGATGTTCAGGGGTGGGGTGGGATGTTAACGTTCATTTACTGTACATGTCAATGTTAACAATTCACAGAAGTTGGCAGCCATGAACAAAAGGGTTTATGGCTAGAAGTAGATTTGGAAAGGGGGAAAAAGTGCCTGCAAAGCTGGATGCGCAGTTACAAGGGGAATTGGACACAGAGACCCTGAAAACCACCAGGCGCCTCTCAGCGCCATTCCCATATAGTTATATGGATATATTATTATTGTATGTGTATATATATATACACTCATCCATCCAAAGATAGACAGATTAGATTAGTTTATGTAGATGAGGTAAGATAAGATTAGATTAGATTACTTAAGTTAGATAATTAAGTTAGATTAGATAAAATAAGCTTAGATAGATCTAAGATTAGATAAGATTAGGATTAAAGATTAGGTAAGATAAGATTAAGATTAGATTACTTAAGATAGATAATTAAGTTAGATTAGATAAAATAAGCTTAGATAGATCTAAGATTAGATAAGATTAGGATTAAAGATTAGGTAAGATAAGATTAAGATTAGATTACTTAAGATAGATAATTAAGTTAGATTAGATAAAATAAGCTTAGATAGATCTAAGATTAGATAAGATTAGGATTAAAGATTAGGTAAGATAAGATTAAGATTAGATTACTTAAGATAGATAATTAAGTTAGATTAGATAAAATAAGCTTAGATAGATTAAGATTAGATAAGATGAGGATTAAAGATTAGGTAAGATAAGATTAAGATTAGATTACTTAAGATAGATAATTAAGTTAGATTAGATAAAATAAGCTTAGATAGATCTAAGATTAGATAAGATTAGGATTAAAGATTAGGTAAGATAAGATTAAGATTAGATTACTTAAGATAGATAATTAAGTTAGATTAGATAAGATTAGGATTAAAGATTAGGTAAGATAAGATTAAGATTAGATTACTTAAGATAGATAATTAAGTTAGATTAGATAAAATAAGCTTAGATAGATCTAAGATTAGATAAGATTAGGATTAAAGATTAGGTAAGATAAGATTAAGATTAGATTACTTAAGATAGATAATTAAGTTAGATTAGATAAAATAAGCTTAGATAGATCTAAGATTAGATAAGATTAGGATTAAAGATTAGGTAAGGTAAGATTAAGATTAGATTACTTAAGATAGATAATTAAGTTAGATTAGATAAAATAAGCTTAGATAGATCTAAGATTAGATAAGATTAGGATTAAAGATTAGGTAAGATAAGATTAAGATTAGATTACTTAAGATAGATAATTAAGTTAGATTAGATAAAATAAGCTTAGATAGATCTAAGATTAGATAAGATTAGGATTAAAGATTAGGTAAGATAAGATTAAGATTAGATTACTTAAGATAGATAATTAAGTTAGATTAGATAAAATAAGCTTAGATAGATCTAAGATTAGATAAGATTAGGATTAAAGATAAGATAAGATTAAGATTAGATTACTTAAGATAGATAATTAAGTTAGATTAGATAAAATAAGCTTAGATAGATCTAAGATTAGATAAGATTAGGATTAAAGATTAGGTAAGATAAGATTAAGATTAGATTACTTAAGATAGATAATTAAGTTAGATTAGATAAAATAAGCTTAGATAGATTAGATAGATCTAAGATTAGATAAGATTAGGATTAAAGATTAGGTAAGATAAGATTAAGATTAGATTACTTAAGATAGATAATTAAGTTAGATTAGATAAAATAAGCTTAGATAGATCTAAGGTTAGATAAGATTAGGATTAAAGATTAGGTAAGATAAGAAGATTAAGATTAGATTACTTAAGATCGATAATTAAGTTAGATTAGATAAGATTAGGTTTAAAGATTAGGTAAGATAAGATTAAGATTAGATTACTTAAGATAGATAATTAAGTTAGATTAGATAAAATAAGCTTAGGTAGATCTAAGATTAGATAAGATTAGGATTAAAGATTAGGTAAGATAAGATTAAGATTAGATTACTTAAGATAGATAATTAAGTTAGATTAGATAAAATAAGCTTAGATAGATCTAAGATTGATAAGATTAGGATTAAAGATTAGGTAAGAGAAGATTAGATTAGATTACTTAAGATAGATAATTAAGTTAGATTAGATAAAATAAGCTTAGACAGATCTAAGATTAGATCCGAATTAGGTTTTAAAGATTAGTAGGTAAGATTAAAGATTAGATTACTTAAGATAGATAATTAAGTTAGATTAGATAAAATAAGCTTAGATAGATCTAAGGTTAGATAAGATTAGGATTAAAGATTAGGTAAGATAAGATTAAGATTAGATTACTTAAGATAGATAATTAAGTTAGATTAGATAAAATAAGCTTAGATAGATCTAAGGTTAGATAAGATTAGGATTAAAGATTAGGTAAGATAAGATTAAGATTAGATTACTTAAGATACATTAGATAATTAATAGGTCTAAGATTAGATAAGATTAGGATTAAAGATTAGGTAAGATAAGATTAAGATTAGATTACTTAAGATAGATAATTAAGTTAGATTAGATAAAATAAGCTTAGATAGATCTAAGATTAGATAAGATTAGGATTAAAGATCAGGTAAGATAAGATTAAGATTAGATTACTTAAGATAGATAATTAAGTTAGATTAGATAAAATAAGCTTAGATAGATCTAAGATTAGATAAGATTAGGATTAAAGATTAGGTAAGGTAAGATTAAGATTAGATTACTTAAGATAGATAATTAAGTTAGATTAGATAAAATAAGCTTAGATAGATCTAAGATTAGATAAGATTAGGATTAAAGATTTTGGTAAGATAAGATTAAGATTAGATTACTTAAGATAGATAATTAAGTTAGATTAGATAAAATAAGCTTAGATAGATCTAAGACTAGATAAGATGAGGATTAAAGATTAGGTAAGATAAGATTAAGATTAGATTACTTAAGATAGATAATTAAGTTAGATTAGATAAAATAAGCTTAGATAGATCTAAGATTAGATAAGATTAGGATTAAAGATTAGGTAAGATAAGATTAAGATTAGATTACTTAAGATAGAGAATTAAGTTAGATTAGATAAAATAAGCTTAGATAGATCTAAGATTAGATAAGATTAGGATTAAAGATTAGGTAAGATAAGATTAAGATTAGATTACTTAAGATAGATAATTAAGTTAGATTAGATAAAATAAGCTTAGATAGATCTAAGGTTAGATAAGATTAGGATTAAAGATTAGGTAAGATAAGAAGATTAAGATTAGATTACTTAAGATCGATAATTAAGTTAGATTAGATAAGATTAGGTTTAAAGATTAGGTAAGATAAGATTAAGATTAGATTACTTAAGATAGATAATTAAGTTAGATTAGATAAAATAAGCTTAGGTAGATCTAAGATTAGATAAGATTAGGATTAAAGATTAGGTAAGATAAGATTAAGATTAGATTACTTAAGATAGATAATTAAGTTAGATTAGATAAAATAAGCTTAGATAGATCTAAGATTAGATAAGATGAGGATTAAAGATTAGGTAAGATAAGATTAAGATTAGATTACTTAAGATAGATAATTAAGTTAGATTAGATAAAATAAGCTTAGATAGATCTAAGATTAGTAAGATTAGGATTAAAGATTAGGTAAGATAAGATTAAGATTAAATTACTTAAGATAGATAATTAAGTTAGATTAGATAAAATAAGCTTAGATAGATCTAAGATTAGATAAGATTAGGATTAAAGATTAGGTAAGATAATGATTAAGATATATTAAGATTAGATTACTTAAGATAGATAATTAAGTTAGATTAGATAAAATAAGCTTAGGTAGATCTAAGATTAGATAAGATTAGGATTAAAGATTAGGTAAGATAATGATTAGATTGAGATTGAGATTAGACATGCCAAGGCCGCGGCGGAAACGGCGACCTTCTGGGCGCTTTGGCCGAGCTGGGCCGGGGCCAAGCGCCAAAGGCCGGTGGCGGAGCCATGCTGATCCCCGCGCTGTCACATTGTCCCAGGAGGCCGAGCCTCGACAACGGACCCTGCAAAACTGGCTTCACTGGCCGCCAACTATTCTGAAGTGCCTATAGTTAAATATAAAAGACACAACCAACACACACACGCACATATATACTTATATATACATAAATATATAATCATATGAATTATATGTATATATATATGTGCGTGTGTGTGAATTATATTGCATTATTTGAAATATAGTTGTGGATAATTCGTTGATAGATCCCAAACCGAAATTATGGTCTACTTGTTGAATGGTTACCCCAACCAACTGCCATTTATGGTGAGGTCGTCATGCGGTCGCTATAAATATACTATGTTTATCTATTTTTTAAGATGTTTTGCCGATTGAATGATCAATGATATGACGCAAATGCAAAAAGGAAACAATTGAAAGATCTCAAGGGCAACAATGCTCAACACCTTAAGGTCAGGTGAGTGACCCGTTGGCCTCCCTGCGGCTGTAAATCAATATAATTAATATAGTAATACCATCGATAGACTATCATCAAACATGCTGTACTTGATGATCTTGCGCTTTTGCGGTCAGTTTTTGCTTGCTAAGTTGATTAACTTCATATTTGCATACATTGTCATATTAATATATTTACCATTATTCCCCACCCATATCAACAGCCGAGTAGATACTTTTTTTGTCGCTGCCGGTTGCCGGTGCCGGATGCCGGATGCCGGATGCCAGTGCCGGTTGCCGGATGCCGGATGCCATATGCCGGATGCTGGCCGGTGCCGGATGCCGGTGGCCGGATGCCGGTGCCGGATGCCAGATGCCAGTGGCCGGTGGCCGGATGCCGGATGCCGGTGGCCGGATGCCGGATGCCGATGCCGGATGCCGGATGCCGGCTGCCTGCATGTGCCAGAGGCCGGATGCGAATGGCCGGTTGCCGGATGCCGGATGCCGGTACCGGATGCCGCGTGCCGGGTGCCGGTTGCCGGTGCGCGTCGGTGACTGGTGCCGCTTGGCCGGTGCTGGTTAAGTTGCCTGCTATTGAGTAAAGAAATTGCCCTTCATTACGATGTGGCGTGAAGAACTGGTTAAGATAGCTTTAGCAAAATTAGTTTAATGAAAGGAAGAGAAACGTTCCGAAGATTGATGCTTGCAGAGATATGTGAGCAACACATGAACAGAGATGCGCGCAAGACATTCCTACCCTGGTTACGACCAAAGTGGGGCAGAAAACGTGGAGGAAATCAGAAGCACATTCTAATTGAGAATACATCCGCTTCACAGAGCCCAACCTGCACTTTCGAAATGTGTATGAGCATTTTACAAGAGCTACCTGATACGGAATTGTAGAGGTAAAATGCCACGCACGAGAATGAGCCGAAAACGCGGACACCCACTTCGCGCGAGCCTGCGCAATAGAAATGCAGGTCAACATCTCAGAAGAACCACTGTATACGGAAATTGACAAGAAAAATGACGGCGCCCAGCTGGAGCACCCCGATGAAGCACCGGCTTTTACGCCGACCGTAAGAACCCCTCAGTGTGGACACAGTGTTCTGGGGAACCCCAAAAAAAAGCTTTCCGGAAGGGTGTTGTTTAAAAAGGGATGACTTGGAAGAAGCAATCCAAAACATTATTGCCAACGAGTTTTCCTTCATGGATATGCAGAATCCGGGGTATCTTATTAATGTAAACTGAACATTACAGGCGTCTGCGTGTCAAAGTGTCTGCGCGTAAAAACTTTTGGGGGTAAAGCTTCTGTGTGTAGTGAAAAAGCTTCTCTGGGTAAGAGTTTCTGTATTAAAAGCCTTCTATGTGTAAAAGCCCCTCTTTGTAAAAGCTGGACTATGTCAAAGCGTGTGTGTGCAAAGACTTCTCTATATGAAAAAGCTTGTGTATATTAAACGCATCTATTTATGTATAAAAACTCCTTTGTATAAAGACTTCGGCCGGTGGGCCGGTGGGCCGGTAGCCGGTGGCCGAGCCAGGGGCCGATGGATCGGGCCGGTGGCCGGCAAAGCAACAAATGCCGTTCGCATACCGTCCGGGCGAGGCCCGTATAGCCGTGCCTATGGCGAGTCCAAAGGGGATCACTTTTAGAGGTCTCAAGAGTTGCGTAGCCTCGTTTCGCGTGGCAGATGTAGCACTGTGTGACATTCCAACATGCTTCATGACGTGTATTAAGTCTTTTTATGTAGCCGGCGCAATACTTCCGCAGCCGTTCGCAACGGTTCGTAAACCGTCCGCGCGAGGCTCGTATAGCAGTGCTCATAGCGCGTGCAACAGAAGGGTCACTTGGAGGTTTTAATCGTTGTGTACCTTCGTTTCACGTGGCAAGCGTGGCGGTGACAGGCCAAGGTGTTTCATAACCTGTCAAAAGTCGTTTTGTGCTGGGTATTGCTGGGTGCCAGTTGCCGGTTACCAATCCCTGTGAATCAAATGCTGGGTCTATTTCCTGACATTTGTGGTAAACCTTGTTTTTTGACGTCCGTATGCATTATTTGACGTCCGTAGCCAAAATTTGGCAACGTTTGCGGGAACCATAATTTTCAGCATAATTTTACCGTAAAATGCGGTGAGCACGAGCGAAAAGTAACAGAGGCTGATATAAGATTAGGGGTCAATCCTGAAGAGAGCACGGTTCATCACGTTTAGTCACGGTATTTTCGACAAATGTCAAAAGTTTAATTGGCAAAAAGATAATCCCTTCTTCCTATTACTAAACCCCCTCCTAATACTAAAAACTAGTGTCCATCTCCAATTTGCGAAAAATTCAGATTGGCCAATTTGATTTTTAATTGATCCCCTTTAGAAAACAATTTAAAAATCAACGTGCCATTTGTGGGTTTCCCCCTTAATACTAAAAACTAGTCAACCCCGGGGTGTTTAGTATTAGGGGGAAGCTTCGAAATCCCATTTTTGGCAATATTTTAATTGCGTTATATAAAGAAATTTAATTGATTTTGAGATCGGAAAAAATAGTTTTTATTATTAAGGGTTTTGGTTTAGTATTAGGGGGAAGCTTCGAAATCCCATTTTTGGCAATATTTTAATTGCGTTATATAAAAAAATTTAATTGATTTTGAGATCGGAAAAAATAGTTTTTATTATTAAGGGTTTTAATTTAGTATTAAGGGGAAGCTTCGCACTCCCATTTTTGGCAATATTTTAATTGCGTTATATAAAGAAACCCTGCGAACCAAAGACCTCGTTAAACTTGATCGTTTCAATGAACATGTTTTACTTGTAAAAGAACGTACTTTACTTGAGCTAATTTTTACCAAAGCTCCGTTGATGGAGTGGAAAAATGCGCTTTTATCGACAAATCACTGCAAATCATTCTCCCAACTGGTTGAGTTCCAGGGCTCTTGGTATCAATTTATATCAATTTCATTGTTTGCAATCGCCCTCTACAGCTGCCCACAGTCCGTGAACGATCCGTGAACCACCCGTGAACCACCCAGGAACCACCCAGGAACCACCCGTGAACCACCCGTGAACCACCAGTGAGACCAGTGTGTTAGAGACACAAAAAACTGGGTTAGAGACCCGAAAAACTGATTGTGTACCGTGAGCGACCCGTGAAACACCCGTGAAACACCCGTGAAGCACCCGTGAAACACCCGTGAAGCACCCGTGAAGCATCCGTGAAGCACCCGTGAATGATCCGGGGACGCCCAATGAACATGCATTAACGGGCAAATGGTTTCCATCTTTTTGCAGGTTCCCAATATCAAATGCAGTTTGTTATAGATGTCACAGCATTATATGCATGTCTCTATGAACCAAGTCTCTCTCAAGATAGATTCAAAACAGTGATGTTGCTGAAGTGTTGACAGCAAGTGGTTAGAAGGATTAAGGAAATGTGATCGGAGAGCGCATTTAAAAATGATCAAGTTAAACTTGTTCTTAACCAATGTGGACAGGTTAAACTGGTCTTTCGGGTTTGTAGGGAAATTTAATTGATTTTGAGATCGGAAAAAATAGTTTTTATTATTAAGGGTTTTAATTTAGTATTAGGGGGAAGCTTCGCACTCCCATTTTTGGCAATATTTTAATTGCGTTATATAAAGAAATTTAATTGATTTTAATCCCTTCCTCCATTATTATGCATGAATAACATGACTTCGATTTGGTTCCCTAATAATATGCAGTGTTTATTATTAGGGGGACGTTTAGTATTAGGTGGAAGGGATTAATTCGTCACGATTTGTCACGATTTTAAACTACATATAGCCATGATCAACTCGCATGCGCATCTTTGAAACAAAGGATGTCTGCGTTTTTCATCGGTTTCCGACAAAATCCGGTAGATTTCCGACAAATATCACCAAAATCAAGCGTTAACGTAGGTGTAGCCCTATTTTGACTACATCGCTATTTTTGATCTATATGCCGACATCGATTCTCAGGGAATTGCTGGTGCCAAATGTCCGGTGCCGGTGTCGGTTGCCGATGCCGGATGCCGGGTGCCATATGCCGGATGCCGGTGGCCGGTGCTGGATGCCGATGCTATAGCTGCCGGGTGCCGGGTGCCGGGTGCCGGTGTGCCGGTGGCAGCATGGATGCCGGTGCCGGATGCCGATACCGGATGCCGGTGCCGGGTACCGGATGCCCGATGCCGGATGCCGGTGCCGGTGGTGCCGGATGCCGGTGGGCCGGTGCCGGTTGCCGGTTGCCGGTGCCGGATGCCGGTGCCGGATGCCGGATGCCGGATGCCGGTGCCGGATACCGGTGGCCGGTGGCCGGAAAACAAAAAATGTATATTATGCAACAGCCAGTCCCATGCTTTTCGTTCGGGCACCTGAGCCTCACCTGTTGCCACCTCCCCCAAAAAAGATGCCTCAAGGATTCAGACCCAGGCCATGCAAAAAACTCAGGGTCCGGGCTGATCCACTTGTTCATCTGGTCGATCATCTGGTTCCTCTTTCACCTCTTTCAGTAGCAGCTCCAAAGGTGCCGCAGCCAGCTCCTGCGGTACCCAACACTTGAGTCGGCATGCGTGAAGACCCCCAGTCCGTCATTCCATCCACCTACTGCGGCCCGTCCGTAAAGTCACCACGAGCCTTTCTGCCCACCTTGGTGTTTACATAAGCTGCGGAAAATATGTGGTACAAGATGGTACAAGTACAGTACATAATGCAATTGACGGGGTGTTCCTACCTCGTTCTCCAGTCCCGTAGCACTTTTTGGGGCCTGACCTTGTTTTCCAATGCCGCATTTGATTTTAATAGCTAAATGCTTTCCGTGTGATGCCTACCTCGTTCTCGGGGTGTTCCTACCTCATTTTGCAGCCTAATTATTTTGTTTTGGACCGAGGTACGCCCCAGTACTCTCCACCTACGAACCATTGGTCCAAATTGGTCCTCTAGATGTTTGTAGTTGTTGGAGTCACCTTCGTCAACGTCACTGGTGTCTGAGGCAGTAGCGGTGCATGCTACCAAGGGCTGCAGCTTCGGTAAAGCTACTATGGGTTCCTCCTGCAGTCGTGCAGACCAAGGACAAGTCGGGGGGGATTGCGGGGAGCCTTGGTTTTAACATTAAACATTCGGCTTTGGTGCGCTGAAAAACTGCATCCAACTACTTGAGTATAATTCTGGGAGAGGTTCCATGCAACCAGGTTTGAGTAGGGGTTAAAGTGACAACAGGTTTGCTTGGACGTATTCTCGGTTGCTAGGGCCTAGGGTGCACAATGTTGACCCATGTGCAAAATCCCGTAAGGAATGGCACAACTCCATGACGCTAAGGACTGTTGACCCTTCCAGCTAAGTTCAACAAGTCAACAGTTCAACGGTTCAACCCTGCAGAAACTGCGAGGCCACCTGGATACCTTGATAGCTTCGAAATGGTGATGCGGCTCCTGTGTGCCGCCTTGACCTTCCCGTGGAGGGGGCCTCTGCTTGGCTCGGAGGACGAATGTGGTAAAGCCAATAATATGCCATCCCAAAAATCACCACAAATGGATGGTATAGACCATCCCAAATGGTGGCTTTAGGTTTCTAAATTGAATTGGTTTTCCTTCATTCAGATACTTCCGCAACCACTCCATCCAACCCCAGATCCCGAAAGATGTCGAATTGCAGCCAATGGACCATTTGAATTTCAAATCAGATGAGGGTTATCCCCTGAAGAATTTCATGGTGAGTGAGTCTATCCTTTTCCATACCCATGACGGATCCATGGTGCTGCTATAATATGCTATATATGGTAACATAGATCCCATCAATATACCCCCAGATTGTTCGCATATATACCAGCACCATGGATCCTATGGGACCCCCTAGAGGCTCCCCGGCAGATCCGGACGACGTCTGGACCGCGCCAGTCTCGCAGGATTGCCTACACGTCCGTCGATCGACGTGACCACGAATCATTTTCCAAACGTTGCCATATGTGGTAAACCCAATGCCTATAGTTTGGGGAATTGGAGGTGGTTTATGATATTGGGTTTTTGTATAATTTTATAAAATCCACAAATTGGAGATCATCAGGGAATGAATCCATTGGTTTCATGATCCACGGGCTTGCCCAGTCTCATTGTTTCCGTGGGGCCGTGCCATTGGGGCTCAACCTGGTGCTCATTATTACCACCTAGGTACTGAGGAATATTATAATATATATATATATATTATATATATAGGGAAAACTATGGATACTATACATGTGTCCCAAAAAAGTAGAACAGTAGTTGATCACTGTTTTAGTTGGATTGTGTTGTTCTATGCTTTTCTACCATCTGGTTACTTAACATAGCCATGGAAAATCACCATTTTTAATAAGTAAACCATCTATAAATGGGTCATTTTCCATGGCTATGTTAAATAACCAGATGGTATCTTTTTGGAAGTTGCTAAATACACAACACACACACAGTTGCGAAGAAAATGTCAGCCAGGTCTCATCCGCCCAGAATGCCGTGATGAATTTTCCAACCAGTTGCAGACTCTAATGGGAAAACATATCAACAATGATATTGGATGAACATCGATTATGACATTATGATCAACTTCGATTGTTTGTTTGTTTGGTTTTGTTTGGTTTTGTTTGGTTTTGTTTGGTTTTGTTTGGTTTTGTCTGGTTTTGTTTGGTTTTGCTTGGTTTTGTTTGGTTTTGTTTGGTTTTGTTTGGTTTTGTTTTGTTTGGTTTGTTTGTTTGTTTGTTATTTGTTGGTTGGTTGGTTGGTTGGTTGGTTGGTTTACAGCTTCAATATGCAGGGCGGATTTGAACGTGTGTGCATATTTATCAGCATAATCCTCCCTTAGTGCTACTTAGGGACCTACAATGAAGGTTCAGCGCCGTGTCTAGAATGAAGTTTGTTTCACAAAACCGTTGGCACATGTTGGCCCCTATAAAATGAAGCGATTTTCTTTGCAAGAGTTTATGCTTGCAAAATGAAGAGTTTGCAGGTAGGCAGTGTGGGTCCTGTATAATGAGCATCTAACCCCTGCAAAATGGAGGGAACAGTGCACCCCAACCATTTTGCTATATAATGGCTGTCTGGAAACACATTTTCATATTTGTAAAGGTTCCTCATTCTATAGGCCTTCACCGGCCGGGGACTCTGTATGTATATACATATACATATGCATATGCATATACATATACATACACATATACATACACACTATTTGTGATTATGTGCGCGACCATTCTTATGTGTGCATATCATTGCATATCCAGCATAGGTTGCGTGCTCATGTGCTCAAATGAGTTTATCGCCCCCCTTAGGACCACTGACTTGATCTGTTGTAGAATACTCTCCCAGAAGCCTCTAGTGTGGTATTGGATCTACTCACCCTTATTGGGGGTTCATTAATGAAATTAATCTTAGGGCGTGGGATCCCAAATGATCATCAACCACACAATGGATCAAACTGTGGCTTCCTTCTTCCACAACTTCCACGTTGATCATGTTTTTTTTCAAGTGGCTGATGGCCAATTGCGCCGCAACCATGTGCCGTCGCTTTTCCAGCGGGTTCAAGGGCCCGCCTGGCAAATGGCAGCGTGCCAAGGGTGATTCATGTCTGCATCACCCGTGGCCATCCAGGCCCATCTGGAACAAATCAAGGCCTTGAAGCCAAGGAGTTTTTTTCGGGAATGGAACAGAAGGCTTGAAGGCCCTTTCATCCACATACCCATCCTATCAGGTATTACATGGTATTACTGTACTTGGATGTACCCTCTGGTAAACTAACATAACTATGGAAAATCACCATTTTTCATGGGAAAACTCACTATTTCTATGGCCATTTTCAATAGCAAACTGTTCGTTATTACCGGAGGGTACAACTGGGGCGGTTTCCAAAAATCGCCAATCCCCAACCTGGAGCTTGGATCGGTGGCACAGGTATCAACACCTGAGCCATGGAAGCTATTGAAATCATTCAACAAGGGCACTATGGCCACTATGGGTCGCAGAAAATGATTTGACCATGGAAGTTCGGGCTTGTGAGGTTTATATATGCGTTTGAGATGTTGCATTCAGCCAGATGACCTTCTTCGGAGAGTCTTCATAGCCACCAGCCTTTCTGGTGGGGACTTTCCTGGCTTTGGCAGCTATGGGGCTGGATACCTCGTTTTCTGGGATCCAGATTTGAAATCAGCTTTGAATCAATGAAGACACCCCGAATTGACAGAACTTTTTTGCTTCCATCTGCAGTCAGTCCTCCTTGCTATTAGTCCTGGTTCAAAGTTGTGACAAAAACCCTGGTTTCCGAAAATCTTCCGGCAACGTAGCATGACGTCATGGCTCGGCATGATCTGAGAATGGACGCTAATATGGTCAAAATATATCAAAATATGGTCAATATTGTGCCAAAATCATCAAAATTGTTCGAGACTCACTCATACGACTCATATGGAAATAGAATGACATCGAAATCTATTTCAATGCACACCATTCCATCCAGAGATTTACAACCGTTTTTTCACCATATTTTTCAATGTGTTGCTCATCCCTCCACCGAGCCTAAAGTCGCTTCCTCTCCAATTCTGACCTGGTCACACTTCGGTGAACGTGGCAAATGTGGCAATGTCAAATTGAAAAAATGTTGAACATGTTGAAAAATGTTTAAAAAAAATGCATGTTTACAAGTTTAATTACACAGCATCGCAAGTTCTTCAACATACGCATGCCAGGACATGCCAAGACGGATCTTGGAGACGCAATATACCCTGCAAAATAACTCGTACGTGAGTAGTACAATGCACAACCTTTTACGAAACCAAAAAACCTTCAGCTACCCTAAGCTACCGGGCAGGCCATTTTTTTGCGTTCGCAGCAAATCCCGTACTTATGAATTATCATGAATTATCCATTTAGAAGATGTATGACATGAACCATACTAAATATCTTGTGCGTTTTCAGTTATACCTGGTATATCCAAAAACAATATTATGATAACATATCATATTTATACATAAATAGCATAATATACATGTAAAGGCGTAAATATTTACATCATTATATCACACTAGCAATCCAGATCGCAATAAAGTACGTCAAATCCCGGGACAAAACAATACAACCCTCCCATAATAAAGAACCCCTCTGTCAACCAGTCACTGTCACTACAAGGTGGTTCGCGCCAGTTCTCAGTTGGTTTATATATCCCTAAGATTGTTACCGGGTATAGTTCACGGGAGTTATAAATCGAGAAACATAGTGAATATATATATATATATCTACAACTATTACTGTAATCAAACTACCATGACACCTGGTATAGTTCATATACAACTAAATTACATGGAGCCTCAAGTCAACAGTTCGACCCTGCCAATTTTCGGGTAGAAGAGTTTAATTCCACTGAACATTGCTGCTATTTTCAGGGTGTTAATTTACCAGAGGGTAACCGGGTAACCGGTAACCATTATCAACCATCATCAAGCATCATTTTCCATGATTAACCGTTATTATCCACTATTGTCATTGATTTTCCATGATGATCCATTGGTTTATCCATTATTCACCATCATGTCGTTCACCATTATTTCCCATGATTACCCTCTGGTAAACTAACATAACTATGGACAATCACCATTTTTAATGGGAAAATCCACTATAAATGGTCATTTTCAATAGCTATGTAACAAATTACCAGAGGGTAACCATCATTAACCATCCTTAACCAGTCGCTCATGGTTTCCCAGGTCTCACCTTCGGCTCGGGCTCGAGCACGCTGCCGTCGCTGCAGCAGGCAAGCGGCTGAGCGGCGCTGCAGCAGCGCCAGCTGCTGCCCGAGCTCGCGCAGTAGAGCCTGGAGGAAGCTATGGCTGTGGAAAAAATATGGGAAACAACATGCGAAAAATATGGGAATATGGGAAAAAAAACAGTATGTCTATCAGACTATCATGGAATATGTTGGACATAAATTTTAAAAATATCCCAATTGGATCCCAATTGGACATACCCCGGAAACATGGGTTAAATATGAATAGTATTTTATGCTTATTTTGGGGGTTCTATCAATTCCCATCGACAGTTCATTGGATTTGCTCCTTAGGGTCCTGAAACGCTCCAGACACTTGGGTTGGCCAAGCCAAGCCATTGAGTTTACATTTACATATGCAGGCAACCTATGAAGACTTCAAAGTCGCTAAACCATCCAATTTAGAGGTCATCTAACATACGGTTCAGCAATGTTTAACAACTAAACCCCAAACCAGTTGAACAAGAATGCATTTTAGGTGTCGTCTAACCATCCCGGTTCTACAGTTTATATAGTTAATAACACCTAATAAGATCTTGTAACCATTAACCATTGCTTAATCCAGTTCTATAGAATGGAAAAAACACGGGAAAATCGTTTTTGTCATTGTTTGCTCCTAAATAAAGTATATAGTATATATGTCTATGCAATTTGTTCTCTGAAAAAACATTAACCAATGAAACAAGTTCAATGAGTTTAAACAAAGATTTGGATAGATTGTGCTTCTATATAGTTACATATATATAGTTACATATAGTTGTGTATGTATATATATATATTTGTTAATCTATTCATTTATATACACACATACGCATCTATTTATTTATTCTGTATATATATATATAATAATATATATATATATATTTATATATTATATACAATATGCACGCTAAGAAACATCAAACGGAACCCAGGGTTTCGCTGGCTGCTCAAGTAGGCTGATCAGCACGCGCTGGGCGTTTTGCAGCGTCAGCTCATACCTCATGCTGCGAGGTAAGCTGGGTCACGGTTGAGATTGGAGCTATCTGTCTGCCTCTCTGTAAAAAAAACACATTGCATATTTATATATATATATATTATATATGCGGGTACCCCCAAATCATTCAAAATTAGACCATGTTAGTATTGACCTCTATTTTTTTTAGGGATCTAAGAAACCCTCATGTGTTCGCCCACGGAATTGGCCCTGCGATGTCCCCAGCCATGTCTGCCAGGTGGCTGCTTCAACGGGGGCCCAGGCATGGCCCCCGCCCAACCGGAAGATTTTTCGAATCTCGCTGAGCCAAAATTCCCCCCAGAGACGATCTTGGGAACTTGTGATCTGAACACCACAAATCATACCCTCTGGTTATGACTAACAGTTTGCCATGGAAAGATCCACCATAAGTTCGGTAAACCATCTATAAATGGGCCATTTTCCACGGCTGGCTGGTGGTCGCCAAAATGATACCATCTGGTTATGACTAACAGTTTGCCATGGAAAGATCCACCATTTTTAAGTTCGGTAAACCATCTATTTCGATTAGGGCCATCTATACCATGGCGAACTCTTCAATAACCAGAGGGTAAAAAAAAGGTTGGCATAAAAAGAGATCAACCAAAGGATATTAAGATCAACGACGGAACATTCACCAACTATCGGAGATATTGGCCAAAGACAAAGAAATCTGGGGAATGTAGCCAGTAAACGACTAAAAATTGGATATCACCCGAAAAACATGCGAGATTGACTTAAGCAACACAATCATAAAGTGGTATGAAATCGACCATTTTCTGGCGATACAAATGAGATAGTTCATGGGATAATTGTTCTTATAGAAGATAATTGGTGGTATCTCATGATCCATACCCATCCACAAACCCTTGTCACTGGTTGGTCCGGAAGATTCTGAGAATCCATTGGGACCATCATCCCGGATGTTGCACAGAAAATGTTGAAAACCTTCAATGATAAGTTTGATTCTGGATCTCTTCATTTTCGGGGCCCATAGGGGCGAATAAAAAAGGCAACGCCAGAAAACATCCAAGCCGGCGTAAGAAGAGATACAAGACATCACAGTGATCCAGCTGCATTGAGCTGTTTCAGTTCTACTACATACATACATACATATATGTGTGTGTGTATGTGTGTGTGTGATTATATGTATATATATATATATCCATGTTCAATGTTTTGTGCGCCACGGTCAAAAACATGATATTTTTTTTAATGGTCATCTCACCAAAATGAGATTCCAATAGTAAGAGGTACATCAAAACCGTGGCCTCCTGGCAGCAGCAAAAGGCCCAATCTTTCAATAGTAATAGGGCTGCAGGATTACCCATCTTCCAACATCTTTCCAGCTACCCTGGGTCAATCTGGGTCAGCACACTGCTGCCACCATGCTGACCCATGGATGCCGCGCCCTTGCAGCTTCCTAGCGGCTTCAGGGTCTTCAAAATGAAAAACAAATCAATTGAAAAATGCGGATTTCCCAAAAGGCATTGGACATTGAGGGACACAAAGGGCAAAAGTTGTAAAGTAGCAAAATTGAAGAATTAACAGCCCAGATTGGAGAAAGAATTGGGGAAACTGAGGATATAATTCATTCGCGGGTGCTGGGTATGTGACCGGCAAAGGTGGCTATGCAAACAAAGACGTCTTGAAAGGTTTTTGGCACAAGAGCAGGATGTCTCATAACTCAAAACTTCTCACAACTTGAATAAGACCTTCCACCTAACTGGTCAGCTGGGAGACACTCCTAAAAATGACGAAAGTTGCGGGTCCGTTGTCACCTGAGTTCTGAACCACAATCCTAATATTGTACACAAAACGATTGTGAATAATCACAAATATGCATGCTTGAAAAAGTTTGAAAACCAAAAATGAATCCACCAACCCCATCTTTCCCTCATTTTCTGGGTTATGTTACTACACAGCATTCCCATTTTCCATGGCTAGCCCCAGGCCAAGTTGGCGTTGGCTGCGCTGGCCTTGCCAGCGCAGCAACACTCACTTCGGCACACCTCGGGTGAGTTCAATGGCCTGGTCACCAATTTTGGGAGAACCCCAGCCCCAATGATATGATCCCATTTGGTTATGAGTAAATTCCAAAATATTACCAAAAATATTGGGGCTGGGGTAAATCCCAAATTCTATTCCCAATGATATGATCCCAATGATCCCATTTGGTTATGACTAACAGTTCGCCATGGTTTGTCGATGGCCCTAGTCGAAATAGATGGCTTACCGAACTTATATTCCAAATATTCCAACGTCATCATCTCGTTTTTTTTTTCACGGACAAGACTGAGTCTGCGCTTCCGAAAAAGGCCTCCCGTTTGGGATGCTTTGGAAATTCATGCAGATCTACCATACAAAGGTCGACACGGCATCTTGCCGTATGCGCATCAGCGCGCGTCTTTGAACAAGCGCAGCCCAAAAAAGGGGGTCACTTGCTGGACTGGTGCAGCATACGACCCATCTCTAAAGTGCAGACCGAAGATGACCAAGGTAGAGCTGGTCCACTTTTGGAGGCCTAACCTCCCAATCTGGAACTCAGATAAGGATAGACCCATCGTATCTATTCATATCCTCACTTTGCGGGAGTAGGCTTTGGATCTTACACATGCAGAGGCATCCCAAATAATATCCTCGGATATCTCTATACATATCTATCAAATGTAGTATGTGTGGGTGAAGAATTCTGACAACTCTAATTTGTATCCCATTTCCTCACGTCAGATCTGCCATGATCTGCCTCTACGACAACTCTCTTGGGCTGCTTTCGCCCGTCTCTTCCTGCCCGGCACTGGATGCCCCGCCGCCACTGTCGGCAGTGCCGGCAGCGCTGGCAGCGCTGCTAGCGCCGCCAGTGGCTTCTGCAGTTTCCTTCTCTACGTCCTGGGCCAACGATAGAGACCACCAGGCAACTTTGCTAGTGCGAAAATGGTGGAGTTGACTAAGTTCAGACTACAAAAATGGGTCCGGAATTGTTTTGGGAATTATGTTTTTCTGTCTTTTTTTGGATATGCTCTTCTGCCCGTTTTCCTTGAAATTGCAGCATGTTGGAGCTGGAAGCTGCCATTTCAACATTTTGGCGTTCGAACCTCTCATTTTCCATGGTATTTGCAACATCTTGGTGCTCAAACTTTTCATGTTGGATGGTATTTTGCGACTAGGGGCAATTTAGGGTTTTTTTAGGTTTGTTTAGGGTCTATGTAGGGTTGGTTTTTAGTTGTTTAAGTTTTTTTTAAGGGTTTGTTTTAGGGTTGGTTTGAGGATTATTTAGGATTGGTTTGGGATCTATGTAGGGTTGGTTTACGGTTTCTTTAGGCGTGGTTTAAGATTTATGTGGAATCTATTTGAGGTTGGTTGTGGTGGGTTGCAGTTAGTTGGAGTTGGTTCAGGGTTATTTAGGCATGGTTTAAGATCTATGTGGGGTGGGTTTAATTTAAGATCTATTTGGGGCTGGTTTAGGGTTTATATATTTAGAGTAAGTTTAAGTTTTTTCGTTAAAGGGTTTACTTAGAGTTGCTTTAGTTTTTTTGGATGTTGGTTTGGGTTTTATTTAGGGTTGGTTTAGGGTGTATCTATATTGTGCATCTTGGGAGTTATTTTATTTAGGCTTGAGAACCCCCCCCAAAAAAAAAAAAGCAGAAAGAAGCAGAGAAGCAGAAAAGCAAAAAGCAGAGAAGCAGGGAAAAGCAGAAAAGCAAATATTAAGCAGAAAGGCAAAGAAGCAGAGAAGCAGGGAAAAGCAGAAAAGCAAATAATTAAGCAGAAAATCCCTACCCCTATAGAGGGGGAGGGCGGGGGGGGACAAAACCAACCTGTCGAATTCCACTTTTTTTTGCTTGGAAACTCTGGGATAGTGATCCAACCCCTCGAATGGAATTGTAGAGTAACATTTCTTAACAAGCCTGGGGCACTGGTTAGAAAATACTTGCGCTTAGCTCCGGAGGAGCTAAGCGCAAGTATGATCACGGCAGCGCAATTTTTTGGAGGGATGCCATCCCTACACATGTGCTGCTTCAGTCTGACAGGTGCTTAGCTCCGAAGCGCAAGTATTTAATTTTCACCTGCTTGCCAATGACATGGAATGATGAGGAATATTGATCATTGAGAAAACATGATTGCAAAAATGAAATTTTAAAATGAAATTTCAGTACGACTCCCCCCTCAAATTCCATTTTTAAGAGGGTAGGGATAGCAGAAAGAGAAACATGCATCCAAAAAGAAAAGCTCAAAACGAGGAGGAAAAAAAACACCATTCCCCAAAAAAATATAGCCCTCCGTAAAATTGTCAAACCCTGGTCTTTGGGTTAGTGTTTTTGGGGGCATCTGGCGTTGAATCCTCATGAAAACTCTCGTTTTGAAGAATGCAATTCATGGCAGGCTTGCTGTAGAGTTTCCCGGAGACCAATTCCGGGAAGCTTGGAGCATCTTGGAGTTGTCTAGCAAAAATGGATAAGGATCTGACTTGTAGGGCTGCAACTAATATTGCATGATTCCAAGTTGGTCTGGCATGGGCATCAGCAAACCTGTTGGTTTTCCTATACTTATCGCCACGTAGTGAGAAGCGACCTATAGCGACCTTCGCGGCCTCTTCAGCCAAGATGCCACCGAGCGCATGGGCACGATGCTGGAGCCCTTCACTTTCATTTGATGCCTGGCCCACTGGCTCCAAAAGAAAAAGAGGTCACCACGTGTCACTGAAAAGCTGCCACAACAGTTCCCCAAGCAGCCTGAAATCCATTGAAATCCTGCATCCAAGCCCTGACCCCGGCACATCCCGGCACCTGGTGCTGTCCAGGAACCTTTCCAAGAAGCTTACCTTGCGATCTTTATCCTCAGGTCTCAGGTCATCTCGACCCATTCTCCCCGTGGGCTCTGCCAGAACGTGGATTTTGTTTTAAACAAACTGCAGTAAACATGGAACATCTTTCAAACCCGGGTTGTCCAGGTTGCAAACCTAGGGTCTTTTGATGAGAAAGTGCCCACCGTATTATATCCCAATCTGTGCACAATAGTTGGTACCATTCTCAAATGTTGAATTTTTGGACTATGGTGGACCTGGAGTCAACGAAAGACCGCGCACTTTCCAGAAAGAACGTCAGTTCGGGGATGTTCCGTGCGCATTTGGCGACCCAAAATCATCGAGCATGATCCCATCGGAAGAAAACAAAACACATTCGCGAAATGGTAGTGTTTCTGTGGTTTCCTCTTTTCACCTCCTCTCCCCCTTGCGTTCTGCACATGATAGAACTTCTTAAACATCCTTTGGCAGCATATACTTCTTGAAATGGACGCTGGGGGAATGAAGCTTTGACGAATTGTTGCAATAGTGCCAACTGTGTCTCCCGTTCCAAAAATACAAAAAAAATACAATCCAGCAGCAATCCTCCCAGCTAGGTCAGTGGATCGTGACAAGTTGAGACCAGAAAGCTATGCCAAGTTGCCATGAAGTGCACAATATCTTCCTCAGTCTGCGAGCCCCCTATGACCATCGGATGGTAAGGGTCAAATCCCTGGCACCTGGATTATGGGATGGTAATTCACCCCTTTTTTCAAGCGGCTGCGCCGCTGCGCTTTGTTCGTGATCCGCCAAATCATGCCATATCTTTGAGACTTCAAGGGGCTGAAAGCGGTGCTACCGTGCAGCTCAGCTTTTCCCAACGACATCGCCAGGCGTCAATGTGAAGGTCATCTATCAGGGCCGCTGCAGCCACAAACTCTTGCAGGGACACCTGACGTCGCGCACAGATGGCCATGATATGGCCATGGGCCAAGCCCTACCTGATGCCTGTGCTTGGGGGCTGTTGATTTGATCCCAGGATCATGGAAAAAGTGGATCAAATTGCCAGGAAACCACAGGAATCGAAGGCCCATGGATGGTCCATGGTTTCCTCTAGATGTTTCCATGGTTTTTCCAGCTCTAACGAAGGGATCCCGGCGACAGTCCCGATGAACTTGCCGCCTTGCCGGAGCGATCCGAGTCAAAGCCTGCAGTGTTTTTTCAAACGCCACAGGCGTCTCAAGTCATTCCGTGTTGAAAGGTGCAAGTGACTAATATGGGTGTGTAAAACAAAAATACACCAACCCGGTTTTTGATGGTAACCATAAAAACCTACAGTATAAAAATGGTGATGACTGGGGCATTGTTTTTTTTTGGTTTTAACCACATTATACATTACTGACCCACCCAATTCGACTCTATTCGCAATGTAGCACCAGGATGTACCAGGCATGGTGTTCAAGGAGGCCACCACTCCATCCCACCCGTGCTTCCCAGTCGCTGGAGGGAAAAAAACGCAAGAAAAAGGCAACCCAGCAACTTGCCGGCAACCCGTATAAACCCGGTATGTGCCATGGACTGTGCCATGGTCAAAAGGTGTTTTTTTATAGTTTTTATGTGGCACATCCATCCCACAATGCGAATCCTGAAAGCTCCCTCCTAACCACTGGATAGTTCAAACTCCCACATATACCCTCCGGTGTCATCAAACGTGGCGTGTTGGAAAATCTGCCATTTACAGTACTTGTCCATGAAATTATTCCGTTTAGGTCGGGAATTTCTCAGCCAACCACGTTTGATGACACCGGAGATTATATCCATGAATATGGAGGTTTCCTAAAATAGGGGTACCTCCAAATCATCCATTTATAGACTTATAGAAGGATTTTCCATGAAATAAACCATCCAGCTATTGGGGTACCTCCATTTATGGAAGCCCCCATATTCCGTTGATATACCATCAAACCAGAGGGTAACCCCCACGCCTGTGAGGGTCGCTTTCCAGAGGAGATCTAAGTCTTCGTTATCAACGATGCCAGCCTTCATCTGGGTCTGGTAGAGGTCCTGGCGCGGGAGTCAAATTCTGATGGAAGACCTGAAGAACATATGTGAAAATGGGGAAGAATTCTGGGATGTATCTATATATATATATATAGTACATCATTATATATCAATATCCATTCTGTATTCCATGTTATTGTTTGCGATGTATATTATATATATATGTATGCATAAATATATATATATATGCATATATATATATATATGTACGTGTGTGTGTGTGTATATGAGTGGCGGACAAAATTACTTACTACCTGACTACCTGCAATAGACATGGCCCAAATGGGTGGTCCTTATCGGTTGTGAAGATTTGCACTTAGAAGCTATGTGCAAAAATATGGTATCGATAAGGGATCGATAAGGGTTCAGGGTTCGTCTGTGCACGTCAAAAGTGGGTCGTTTGTGCACGTCAGACGGTTGGTCGTCTGTGCACGTTTTTGTTGTGTGTTTTTGTCATTGTATCTCTGTAACATGATTCTTCTTCTAGTTTTTTTTAAACATCTCAAGAGCTGCTTTCGTGTGCCATTTGGTGGAGCTGCTTTCGTGTTCTCTCACTGAAGTTCACCCAAGTTCTTTCACACAACTCATCTCACAACTCACACAACTCATCTCACACAACTCCACTCATCTCACAACTCGCAGAACTCGTCTCACACCACTCCACTCATCTCACAACTCACACAACTCGTCTCATCTCACAAGTCACACAACTCATCTCACACAAGTCATCTCTCAACAACTCATCTTACACAGCCACCCCCCACCCCACGGGTAACTGATCATGAAAGAGCAGTGCGAGGAAATGCTCTACAGCAAGAAAGATGATGAGGTTGCTGTGCGTGTGCAGGCATAGGAACATGAACCTTATTAATTCACCCCACCCCACCGGTAACTGATCATAAAAGAGCTGTGCCTGTCTCTTCCCAACAGCAAGAAAGATGATGAGGTTGCTGTGCGTGTGCAGGCATAGGAACATGAACCTTATTAACTCACCCCACCCCACCGGTAACTGATCATAAAAGAGCTGTGCCTGTCTCTTCCCAACAGCAAGAAAGATGATGAGGTTGCTGTGCCTGTGTGTGCATAGGAACATGAACGTTATCATCCCACCCCACCCCACCCCACCCCACCCCCACCCCCCCCACCCCACGGGCAACTGATCATGAAAGAGCAGTGCGTGTAAGTGCTCTACAGCAAGAAAGATGATGAGGTTGCTGTGCGTGTGCAGGCATAGGAACATGAACCTTATTAACTCACCCCACCCCACCGGTAACTGATCATGAAAGAGCTGTGCCTGTCTCTGCTCTACGGGAAGAAAGATGATGAGGTTGCTGTGCCTGTGTGTGCATAGGAACATGAACGTTATCATCCCCCCCCCCCCCCCCCCCCCCCCCCCCCCCCCCCCCCCCCCCCCCCCCCCCCCCCCCCCCCCCCCCCCCCCCCCCCCCCCCCCCCCCCCCCCCCCCCCCCCAACCAAACCCGAAATGGCTGGTTCCCAGCCTCAATGTGCGCGGATGACCGCTCTTTGTGCGCGGATGACGCGGTTTCTCTGTGCGCAGATGACTCGTTTGCAATGTGCGCAGATGACTCGCTTTCAATGTGCGCAGATGACGCGTTGACCTCGATAAGTGGCTGGCCCCCTATCGGTTGTGAATGTCTTCGCACAAATTTGAACATCCCATGTCCACTCCCCACTACTTTAGTCTTCCGCTAATTTTGTCGGTTACTCATATATATATATAAGTATACATACCCACATGTGTATATATATACACATACACACACACACATATATATATATATATATTATACATATGTATGTATGTATGTATGTATGTATGTATGATGCATGCATGTATGTATGTATGTATGTATGTTTGGTATGTATGGTTGGTATGTATGGTTGGTATGTATGGTTGGTATGTATGGTTGGTATGTATGGTTGGTATGTATGGTTGGTATGTATGGTTGGCATGTATGGTTGGTATGTATGTATGTATGGTATGGTATGGTGTGGTATGGTAAGGTGTGGTATGGTATGGTACGGTACGGTATGGTAGGGTAGGGTAGGGTATGGTATGTATGTATGTATGCATGTTTGCATGTATGCATGTATGCATGTATGCACGTATGCACGTATGCACGTATGCACGTATGCATGTATGCATGCATGCATGCATGCATGCATGCATGGATGTTATGTATGTAATGTATGTTATGTATGTTATGTATGTAATGTATGTAATGTATGTAATGTATGTAATGTATGTAGTGTATGTAATGTATGTAAGTATGGAATGTATGTATGCATGTATGAATGTATGAATGTATGAATGTATGTATGTATGTATCTATGAATGTATGCATGCATGCATGTATGTATGTTTGTCTGTACGTATGTATGTATGTATGTATGTATGTATGTATGTATGTATGTATGTATGTATGTATGTATGTATGTATGTATGTATGTATGTATGTATGTCCGTCTGTCTGTCTGTCTGTAGGTAGGTAGGTATGTAGGTAGGTAGGTAGGTATGTAATGTATGTAATGTATGTAATGTATGTAATGTATGTAATGTATGTAATGTATGTACTGTAATGTACTGTAATGTACTGTAATGTATGGTATGTATGGTATGTATGGTATGTATGGCATGTATGGTATGTAATGTATGTAATGTTTGGTATGTAATGTATGGTATGTAATGTATGGTATGGTATGGTATGTATGTATGTCTGTGTGTGTATTGTAGTGGTGTGTGTGTGTGCCTTTTTAGGTTGATTTCGAGTCATTGGACTAAGCCACTTGAGTTCAAGCTTCAGTGGCTGCCAGGGTCAGTAAGCAATGTATCAAACGGATTATTGACATCACCCAGGAAATTTCGGGCAACCCGGGGCTGCCAACTTAGCTTAGTCCATTATGGCATTGATTTGTCATAGAATAGCCCTATGGTTTAGCATCATGTTCTCCTTGAAATTACTTGGTTTCTGATCATTTGGGAGAATCCCCGGTGTTTTGGACAAACCAATCTTGATTTTCTCTCCATCGCCTTCTCAAGGAGTTCAGCAAAGCCAATGTTGATTTTGCCTATTGTTTTCTCTTCCGATTTTGCTCAGCCCAAGGAACCCAACATGCGCCCACAACTCCCGGCAATTTCCATTGCCTCTAAATAGCTGTAGAGCCTCTCCTCAAATTTCAGGGTGGTTGGGTTTGGGTGAGAGTTTGGAGCTGTAAATGAAATGCAGGTTCCAAGCCACCCAAAGACTACAGTGAAATACACGAACTCTTGCAAAATGGCTCCCCTCCAGCTATCATTGGAATTTGCTCATGGAGATATGAGATCTCTCCGGATCCTGGTTCCAACTCTTGGGAATACCGTTCATTGACATGTGTAATCTATTTGGGTCGATCTGGGCACGCTCCAAATCTTGGAGATGTCGGATTCCCGATTTCCATCGCTGAACGCCGAAGGGCCATGTCCAAGGGCCCTTCCCTGGAGATCTGATGATAGGTGGCATGCGAAATAAGCATTCTGGCCTGGCCATCCGGCACTGAGGCGACACCACAATATCCACAATGCCAAGCTTCCGCCCTGATGATAGGTGGCATCCCAAAATTGCAATATTTGTAATGGGAAAAACGACAAAAAAAAACCTGTAGAGCTTATACCATCGAGATCCATCTGGGCTGTGGAGACAGCCATGAACAGGATGGCCTGATGGCCTGATGGGATTTACTAACTTCAGAGGTAATGGCCTGTGAAGTTCCCCCTGTTTTATATGGCTTCAAAATATATGCTCCTTTCAGCTCTGCCAAATTGCAGGTCACAAATATTTAGAATCACATCCAGTTGTTGATACTGGTATGGGTCTAAACTATCAACCCCCACATGTGAATAGATAGTACTCGACTTGACCAATTCTGCAAGCCATTGGTACCCAAAAATTGACCCATACAGCTTGGCATGTCACATATCTTTTCCATAACCCTTCGATGAGCTCGGCCTGGGTCTTGCGCAGGTGATCATAGATATCAAAAGGTCCTTACCACCGTGCGCAGTGCTGTTTCAAGAGAGATCCACGCGCCACGAAGGAAGGAGGTAAATTGGAGAAAAAACAGTACCATCAGTTACATACTATCTTGATGCTTGGGGCGGGTTGACATCTCAATTGTCATGATATATCTAGATATTCTCCTGATAATTCTTGATACGGTAAATAATAACCATATAATACCAATTAATACCATATATATATACATATATCCGTGTGTGTGTGTGTGTTTGTGTGTGTGTGTACCCCTCCCTGTCCCTCTTTTCAGGACGTTGGAATGCACCATCATTGACACAGGAAGGCACCAGCCGGCTTGGCTGAGCGGCGACAGGTCTCACGGCGATAGATGGCGGAAGGTTGGCCCACGGCAAACTCCACGATGTAGCGCATGAGGGTTGCCTGGACTCGCTGTGTGGGGAGCATCTTGGATGACCATCGTCAACCAAGTCCAACCAGTCCGAAATTTGCAACTACCAATGACTACCATCATCCAATACTTCTCGAGGGCAGCTGAATCCTTGAAGCATCGCCAAGGGGCCGGTAGGGCAAACAGCACTGCAGCTTGCACGATCCAAGCCATGAAAGGAGTATGGGACACATATCGGAAACTGCCCTTGAAGCCCCAGGTAGGTGTTACCTCGGTTTAAGGGGCAAAAAAGGGCCGACACCGAACTGCTGTTAAACATGGTTGCACCTCAACAAAGGGAAACTCCGCCGCACAAAGACGGTTCTTAAAATTCTTGAAGTCTGAAATCTACGATGAGAAGGAGTGGTCAAACATGGACAAACCACTTCATGCTCCGTGCTCAGCAGATTTTGGAAGTTGGAGATCAGAGCAGGATAGAGCAGGGCTTGAAGCTTTTGCCTCCTATGACTCCTATGTTTCAAAGGATGCTTTAGCATTCTCAGTGGGGAATTCCTCATGTTTCATGCACGGAGTCAAGTCCGGGATCCAACTCGACCAGCAAAGGTTCCCCCGTCCTATCAGAGCTTTCAAGGACTTCATTTCCATGGGAGGTCTTGGCCACTTCCAAGTGGACTTTTCATCAAAAACAAACATGTAGATATTATATATACGTATATACATATATATATATATGCCGTCATTGGGTGTTGGTTTCATCCTGTCCCACAAGATATTTTTCTCAACTCACCGTTCACCGTCCCCTTACTTGGGGCCGGCCCAGCTGCACCATACATGTACATCTGATGCTCCACAACGTCGCTGTTGAGATTTGGCAGGGAGAGCCTTTGGACTTCCTTAGGGCAATTCGCATTTGTGGCCGGATCCCGTCCGCCTACACCCAAGGTGCAAGGGGCATCCCAAAAGGACCCATGGACACTGGCCATCTCAACCAGGCTGCTACATTGGAATTCCACTGCACATACACGGACACTGTGATGTAGCAAACCACCCCGTCATGATCCTCTGAATGAGCGCCTGAACAGGCAACGGATGGCAACGGTCTGCGGTTTGGGCCTTTGCTGGATCAATATCATGACGAAATAGGGGATGGGGTCTGGAGGCTATTAATGCACAAGCATCTTGTTGTCTCATAAAGTTCGAGACGTCCGAGCTCTTGCACAAACATGAAACACATCAGATAGGGTCATAGACTCATAGAGTTCCAACATGTTCCAACATGTTCCAGTCCCTTTCAGAGTGCAGCTGGCACCTGTGCTCATGTACTCCAAATCAAACTTCAACCTCGCCGCAACGCGGTTTTTTACATATGTTAAACATGCCGCACCTCCACGAATCCTGGGGGCAATGTATGGCAATGTTTTGTAAACACTATTCTAAACAATCCATAACAATCCCCCGGTCATCACTATCAATGGGTGGCTTAAATGATCCCACATGGTGGATGTTTTCCTCTCCGAGTCCAGGCGACATTGTGACAGAAAAAACTGCCAAGCCGCGAGAAACCCATGGTCCGTAGATGCTTTGCTAAATCTCAGATGGAGCGGGGCTGGGCGCCGTTTGATGCGTTTGGGATCCAAGGGGATCCAAGTTGAAGACGTGGCCCCATCATATATCATCATTAAATCTTATGCTTTTATATGCTTTTATCCCATAAAATGGGCGAAATAACCATGGCAACATTCATGCAAGATTGACCACGTACTAATTGACTGGGATGAATCGTCCTAAAACTCACCAAAACTATCAAAAAGAAAACGGGATATGCATGCATCATAGGGAAAAATTACAGGAAACCATGTGTTGTTCCATTGATTGTGATTGTTTCCTGCAAACTTTCCTTCATATCCCCATCGGAATTAATTAAATGATATCGCTCCCAAAAACGGAGAAAACAACGCTGTGAACATCTTTTCTCAACATCTATAAAGATCCAACAACTAGAGTTCAGCCAAGACCAAGAGTTCTTTACAGTGTTTCACAGCATTGTCATCGATTTCACAGAAGTTGTCATCGATTTCACTGAAGTTGAGCGTCACTAAAGTTGTCATCGTTGCACCCCCCAATAACGTTCGTGTTCAACCTCTGCGGAATACACCTCCCAATGGCGAACGGTTAAAATCGAACTCTACCCATATCTATAATATCAATTGATATTGATTATCCATAATTATTTAGATAAATTATCCATAATTATCCAGACTAATCGCCCACTCTCCGTCCTTTTTTAAGGGAGGCAGCTGTTCCCCTTGGACATCGCGGTGGGATCTGCATCCAGATCCGCGTTTGCACAGCTCATCCAGTCGCCCAGACTTGCCGCGATGCCCGTGGAGGCCTGGAAGGTGTCTGGGTCTGTGTTTGAGGGAAAATCTACAGGAAAACATGGTTTTTACCATCAAATATAGGGGTTTCCATGGGTTTCCTGTAAATTTTCTCATCATCCAATTCTATGATTAACTGGTTGGTGGTATACCTACCCCTCTGAAAAATGATGGAGTGAGTAGCAGTTGGGATGATGACATTCCCAACTGAATGGAAAATTACTTTACTTCGTGTGATCCCCACCATGACATTTATACATTTTGTTACTGGCAAATCTTCTGGCATTCTATCTGACATATTTTCTGGCATTCGATCTGGCATTCTATCTGGCATACCTTCTGGCATTCTACCTGGCATATCTTTTGGCAGATGTTCTGGCATATCTTCTGGCAGATGTTCTGGCATATCTTCTGGCATATCTTCTGGCATATGTTCTGGCATATCTTCTGGCATTCCATCTGGCATTCTATCTGGCATATCTTCTGGCATATTATCTGGCAAATCTTCTGGCATTCCATCTGGCATTCTATCTAGCATATCTTCTGGCATATTATCTGGCAAATCTGCTGGCATTCTATCTGGCAAACATTCTGGCACTTTATCTGGCATATCTTCTGGCATTCTAGCTGACATTCTATCTGGCATTCTATCTGGCATACCTTCTGGCATTCTATCTGGCATATCTTCTAACATTCTATCTGGCATATCTTCTGGCACTCTATGTGGCATATCTTTTGGCGTGGATACTCGCGGTTGAGGTCCGGCAGGGAACACTGGGCGTGGATGGTCGTGGTTGAGGTCCGGCAGGGAACACTGGGCGGGGATACTCGCGGTTGAGGTCCGGCAGGGAACACTGGGCGTGGATGGTCGTGGTTGAGGTCCGGCAGGGAACACTGGGCGGGGATGGTCGTGGTTCAGGTCCGGCAGGGCACACTGACGTGGATGGTCGTGGTTGAGGTCCGGCAGGGAACACTGAGCATGGATGGTCGTGGTTGAGGTCCGGCAGAGAACACTGTGGATCGCGGGTCGCAGTTGGACGAGGAGGACGAGGAGGACGACGAGGAGGAGGACGACGAGGAGGAGGACGACGAGGAGGAGGAGGAGAGGAGGAGGAGATGAGGAGGAGATGAGGAGGAGAGGAGAGGAGCAGGCAACTGACATAAAATCTAACAACCCTCACCTGGCAGGTGGGGAAAAATATTCCAAACATTTCCAAACCACCAACCAGTTAATAGATGGTTATAGACTCATAGAGTCTATAGAGTCTATAAATGGGATAGTTATAGATGGTTAAGAGACTCCTGATTTTGAATGTGGGTAGTTTTTTATATTAGTTTCGAGTTTCCTGATGTATTGGAAATATAGAATAATTTCTTGGTGGGTTGGGAAACAGTAATATGGGTATGCTGGTATTTGGAGTTTGGATTTCGATGTTTTTTAACCAAAGAGTTACGAAACTATGGGCCGTCATAATGGGATTTGACCAACAACAATGGGCGTTTTAACAAGTGCCATCATTGGGATATTACTCAGAAGCTGAGAGATAGTATCAACTGGCTTATGTTCCCCAGAATTACTGATAAATGTAAGTTAGTACTATTATATATAGTTTTGAGAATCTTTCAAATGGATTCTATACGGATTATGAGGGTATATTTATAAGCTTGGTAGAATGTGTTGTTTTTTACATAGCCAACAACATTGATAGTTGATATAAGGTCATTGTGGACTTAACCAAGAATCATTTGAGTATACTACAGTAGTTGGTCATACTTCAACCAACCCATATGTCTCGGGGTATCCGCTGGCCAACAATGCCACCACCAGGACTACAACAACCTCATTTATCCACTGGCATTGTGGGAGAGGGGCTCAGCCAAGCTACAGTAGATGTTTTTTCTGGTTTTTCCAGGGGCTATCATTGAATTTAGCACATGATGGACGGGTATAATATGGTATGTTCCCGTTTCCTGATCTTCCGATTTACAGTATTGTTTGTACAATTTCCCATTGTTTGCCAAACAAATATTGATAGTTGTGGTGATTCACCAACCCTCCATGCACAGGAAAAAAATCCCACCTCTGTTGGTGAAAAAATCGACACTGTTGGTAAAATCCCAGTTATTGATGGTTAAATCCCGGTTTTAGATTGTTAAATCCTATTTGTTCTTGGTTTTGTTTTTCACTGTCCATTGGTCACGTTTTAGTTGGTTAAATCGCACGTTGTGTTTGTTCAATCGTCATCTTTGACACTTGAATTCTGATTCCTTGGTTCGCTGGGCGTAGTCGCATTTTCTGATTGTTCAACATACCCTCCTGCGTTTTGACAAAAACCCACGTATTGAGCAAATGCTCGGACGCAGTCTATGTTAAAACATCCTTTTTTTCTCAATGTTGCCAGGGTCTATGTTAAACCATGTTCAAGGAAAAAAACTCAAAACTACATTAACATAACCCTACAGAGAGAGCTTCTGTAGGTGCATGTATCCACCGCACTTTGTCAGCTTCTGTAGGATGTTCGTCAAAAGTTAAGAGTGTAGATTTTGGATTCTTAAATCCCCATTTCAAAATCTTAATTTCCCCAGATTGTTAATCCCCATCATAATTGGTAAAATCCCCCATTTGATTGAACAAACTGTTGCTGCCCCGCTACTTCGTCTTCTGTCCATGAGCTTTTGCCACCAACCGCCTCGCTGAGAGATGACACACAGCGATGGCGTTGTGAGCCAGTCCAAAGTTTTTTGTGGTTGCATATCTATAAAGTGCATGTATATATAGATAAAGTGCACATACACGCGCACACACATATTATATATATATACATATGTGTGTATGTGTTCATATATGTGGGTATATATGTGGGTACATTAAATATATGTATATAACTATGGAAAGTGAGAAAAATATATTCACTCATTTCTCCATGTATGCGGATCATGCAACGTTCTACAATGTGCTACAACATATTTATTAACAACACATATATACTGCGTATATATATATATTATATATGAGTATATATATATATATATACGTATATAACCAATAATGCATGTATACATATATATATATATAATTATGTATATATACTGTATATGTATGTATTCACCTATAAAGCCTATACATCAAATGTATACGATCCATTGCTTTTCCCTAGTGAAAACCACGAAAAACCGTAGATTCTTTCCAGATCCAGCGGCGCATCGAGAGCCATCTGCTCGCCGAAGAATCGTCAACACAGAACCTGGGACTATTGCAGTTGCTGAATAGGTTTATATATTTATTGACTATTTATAGGTTATACTATATAGTATATTTATGGGTTTTATATACTAGGTTAAATAGTTTTTTATACTATATACTAATATACTACTCATTTATAGGTTATATAAAACACGATGTTTTGTTTACATATTACCAGAATATGTGTAAAATAGTTATGTATGAAAACATCTTAGAGCATATTGTTATATATATATATGGTTCAATGATATATATATATATATGTTTTTTTCATTAAGGATATGGTATGGTATATTCATATCACGTTTTAAAAACTATCATAAACTATCTATATATGAGTTTGCGTTTGAAGTATTTATCAGATCGAAACATACATTGTGTTCACAATATTCAGATTGTTGCATATATATATACACATACAGTACATTTGCATATGGAAATTAGATGTGTTCAATATATATATATATTATATTCAGAAAATGTACCAATGGTTGGGCATAAATATGTATAAATGATATTTGTGACATCCATATTTTGCTTACACTATGCTTGTCTTAAATATGTGTATAATATATATACCAATAACACTTTGCAATATACACCATATGTATATGAAATGTAAGTATGTGATACTGTATGCATGTCATAATAAATGCATATGATCATATGTGTAAATAACGATATAATATTATTATAAATATGTATAGTACAGGTAAACTAATGAATATAATATAAAGATAAATACGAATATTCTAGTATGTATATTATGTAGTTGCTATAGTTTGATGCCTAAATGTGTGCATATTTGCAAGCCGACGCTGGCAGGTGACCCCATTCAGGCAGTCCAAAGAAGGGCAAGTAGAGTCCCCTTGGCTCCAAAATCAAGCATCATGACTTGGGAAGGCCCATGGCATCTCATGCAAATCACATTCCAAAGCCTCACAGCTGCATTCCAAACCCAGCTCTGTGCCACTGGGCGTCTGCTGCGGCAGGAAATACTCATGGATGATGACCAAGACTTCATCCTGATCCATCAGCTGTAGCTGGGCAAACTTCGGAACCAACAAAAATCCTTCGGAACAAAACTCGTACTGTGTACAGGAAACAAATGCATTAATGTATTAAATGCAATAGAGATATGTATATATATATACATATAAATAATCATATATATATATACGCAATCATATATATATATATTATAATTAAATATAATATAATATAATTACAATATATTACGATATATTATGATCTTGTCCGTTAAAATATAATCAGCATGTTATTTTCAAATTTTGAATAGTTTTGACACACCCATATCAACGATTGTCAACGCATGTATGAAAAAGAAAAAAAAAAGTTATGATACATGCATGCAATAAATCGTCGGAAACCGAATTCCGAAAGACCATTGAAGATACGGTGTTTGTTGTCAGAAGACCCAAAAGCATCCAAAAAAGCCCGCTACCCCCTGCTTCTTTGTGCTGGTCCAACTTTGCGAAACTTCAAAGATTCCCCCAATGCGGCACAAGATTTTCCCGCCGACTGTCCTCCGGATTCTGAGCAAAGAAACCTCATGGCAGATGCCAGGGACCTACAACCATCTTTGTGAAGTTGGGACTCGCAAAACATGTTGGGAAAAAGTCAGGAAATCACCCTCCCACAAATTAAGGAACTTTGCATGTCCTATGTAAGACCATGTAGGCATGCAACTTTCGGAGTTGAAATACATAAATTAATATAAATTAAACATACGTTTGTCGTCAAGTCAAGCGTGGTTCAATGATATTCAACCAGCCAACTGTCATACCTCAAGCAACTGGTTCCCTAAGGGCATCTGAACAGAAACAAGAAAATGGTAGCAGACTCGTCGCGGCTTTAACGCGTTTCACCCTCTGAAGAAATGCGTCAATGATATACACGTGTTACACAGTATCATGTGGATCACCCTATTGGGGTCGGATTTTTTTCAGGCATTTGAGACCACCAGCAAGGTGAATACACAGCAGCTGCTTGCAGCTGCTTGCAGATATGCGATGAACAAATTGAAAAACACCAAGCGGATGCCAGCCGAGAGGCTATCTTTCAGGCTGCATTTGCAAGAGCTGTCGTGCAACACCTCCCAAGTCCGCTCGACACTTGCAGAGACATCCTTGGCGTCGGCCGTCGGAGGTGGCCGGCCCATGGTGGATGGCTTGCCGCAAGTCCACACAAGGAGAACCAGTTATAGGCCCTCTACATCTGCAAAGGACAAATACGATCAAAATGTGAGTTTGTCCGAAAATCGGTGCCAAAATCATTGATGAATGAATCTTCAAAATCATTATATTGATTAACAATTGATTTGTGTGCAACAATTGCCATTTGGGGGCACCATTGCACACCCACATGAACATTACAAGCCTGATGACAGCATGTGACAGCGAAGCCAAAGTTCCTCTGGAGGAGACATGTCGAAGCACGCCTGCTTGGTTGCATTCGTGCAGTTGGTATGTATCCACGAATACCTGAAGCTCCCGGGCGGCTGACGCTTGTCAGAGTGAGCTGACAACTGCACAACCAAATAAGAACGTTCAAATACGGCCTGGGGTTCTTCCTGTTTCCTGTAGATGTCCGAGTTTGCAGCTATGCCAGAGTCTTTTCTTGTGGCGTCACGCACCATCTTTCATCCACACCTTCAACGAATTCATAATTTGATGTGCCCATTAGTTCCATATAAATCCATATAGCAAACTTCCAGATTCCGACAGGGAACGCACTGAAAAACCGCATTGACACCCACAGGGAGCCAGATGTCAGGTGCGACATTCCATCTGCATCAACTTAAAGAACTCACCCAGCACCCATAAATATCATAAATGAAAGTCAATATGTCTGGCTGAGCCAGTGTTTTCCCATGTTTTCCCATTCAAATCCGTTTATGCAAATGGCATCAAATGGCAAAGATGAAGCCACGAACTAGCCATTCAGGTTAAACAGTTTCTGCCCAGCTGCGTCTCTTCGAGATAGGTGGGGAAGTGAAGCCAGTTACCTCCGGCGTTTCATGACCCCGTGATGAACCAACACAGCTAGTCCTCCATAAAATATGGCAAAACTAGACTAAGATGGGCCGATTTGGCATACAGTTCGTCATCAAAATGCCAAAATTGGTTGTTTGACAGGGGGTGATCCGGACCCCTTCATTAATCAACCAACCAGCAGGCAAAGTATATCTATTCAAGGCTTTGTCGGAAAATAAGGCCTCCAAAATCCGGTAGTTTTATCATGATTTTCCACAAAAAATGTCCAGTCTGATTCATTCTGGGGCCATCAAATGACCCACACCGGGGTCCATCGGGTCCATCGCACAACAGGCCACGCCTTGCTTACGAAAGGCCGAACTGCCGGTGAGCAACCGGCATGACCTGGGCCGATAGATCCAGCCACCACTGAACTGGTTGTCATACCTTGGGTCGCTGGGACCGGGTGAGTCTGCGGCTGGTGATTTGATCTGCCTATTTTGGCACGTTTGACTTTCTGGGTGACGCTGAAATTGAATGTTTTGACGAGGGCCAACTGTAACTGTAATATATGATAATATATGTTTACGTGATCTTATGTGGATGTTACACATGGTTGTGTGTGTGGCCAAACTTCAGGACACTGTGGTGTTTCTTCTGCTGGCCCATATCAGTCCATATGAATGACCCCCCTTGCATTTTGATGCATGTTGAATCATTTTGAAGGATTCTTGTGTCCAAGTGCATGCCAAGAAGTTGCCCCCAACCATGATCCCTCTTGTAGCATCAGTCAATCTGTAAGAGAAGAAATGTCACGCATCACACCCAAGTTGTCAACACTTAGACCACAAGGAAAGGTCAAGAAGTGCTGAGTTGCCTCTGCCACGCAAAAAATGTCAAAACTTCTCATGTTGGAAGGCTCGCTTTTGACAAGTTCGTGGAATACATAAAGCTCGTTCCCACTCACCCTTTGCTTCAACTTCCAGGGCCACGACAATTGTCGACGAGTGGCAGCTCAGGTTGAGTGCAGTGCTGTCCCAATCCTCAAATCGCGGGTCAATGATCCCCACCAAAGGCAGCCAAATGATATATGACAAAACAACCCAAGTCAGAGCCACAAACACAAACACACCAAACACACAAAATGACGCAAAAACTTACTGGTTGATGATGTTCTCTTCTAGTTTTGGTATGTTTTGGTCATTTTCAGGAATCACCTTTGCATTGAAATTGTCCACCCTTCACGATCACAGCACCGTGCAGCCAGATCGCGGAGTTTCCCTGACAAAAATCATGGAAACAAATACGAAACAAGACATGCAATTATAGTATCTAATAGTACTACTATAGTATAAAAAATAGTGGTACCCTCTGGTAATTTAACAAAAAGCTATGGAAAATCACCCATTTTTCATGGGAAAAGGCTGGGCTCGGCTGGACAGATTCGCCGGCGCTTCGCGCCAGGCGGTGACGGTCCCATGGGTGATGGGCATCTTGGCCGTCCAGGCCTGACTTCCCAGTGCCGTGGTTAGTTGATGATATGGTTAGTATATATATATATAATAGTATCAAACTAACCATATAATATAGTATATATATATATATATAATAGTTGCCATTGTATATGATATCAAAAAACGATGGTTAGAATCATATACCATGGTTAGTGTATATATATATAATAGTTGCCATTGTATATGATATCAAAAAACGATGGTTAGAATCATATACCATGGTTAGTATATATATATAATAGTTGCCATTGTATATGATATCAAAAAACGATGGTTAGAATCATATACCATGGTTAGTATATATATATATAATAGTTGCCATTGTATATGATATCAAAAAACGATGGTTAGAATCATATACATGGTTAGTATATATATATATAATAGTTGCCATTGTATATGATATCAAAAAACGATGGTTAGAATCATATACCATGGTTAGTATATATATATAATAGTTGCCATTGTATATGATATCAAAAAACGATGGTTAGAATCATATACCATGGTTAGTATATATATATATAATAGTTGCCATTGTATATGATATCAAAAAACGATGGTTAGAATCATATACCATGGTTAGTATATATATATATAATAGTTGCCATTGTATATGATATCAAAAAACGATGGTTAGAATCATATACCATGGTTAGTATATATATATAATAGTTGCCATTGTATATGATATCAAAAAACGATGGTTAGAATCATATACCATGGTTAGTATATATATATAATAGTTGCCATTGTATATGATATCAAAAAACGATGGTTAGAATCATATACCATGGTTAGTATATATATATAATAGTTGCCATTGTATATGATACCAAAAAACGATGGTTAGAATCATATACCATGGTTAGTATATATATATATAATAGTTGCCATTGTATATGATATCAAAAAACGATGGTTAGAATCATATACCATGGTTAGTATATATATATATATAATAGTTGCCATTGTATATGATATCAAAAAACGATGGTTAGAATCATATACCATGGTTAGTATATATATATATATAACTATTGTTGACCAACTATTCTATGTTATGATTTTTCTTTTTTTTGATATACAATGGACTCAATGGACCCTAAAATCATCCAAGTGATTGGTGATTGGAACCATGGGAAAACCAATGGTGCGGGAACCCTGGTGAAAAGGAGAAAACCCATGGTGAAATGACGAAAAATTGAAGAGAACCATGGTGAAATTCAATCAAATCAAACCATTTGCGGACAGAACTGGTTTAGCTACGGAAATGATTTCACCATGGTTTCATAAACCAGCTCTTCATAATGGTTTGTGCATGGTTATACCCGTTTCTCCATGTCAAAAAAACAGTTCACCACTTTTGGAAATAGTATATATATAATGTTCAGATACAATACCCTTTGACATGTTGATTAAGATCGCTTGTAATAATTGTTGTCATATCCCCATGGATTTTTCTTGCAGCTTCCAAAGGATGAACAGATTCAATCTACGGTATCAATTGGCCGTTTTCCATCGTGTTGAATAACCAGAAGGTAGCTGTAGGGAGTGGTAAAATCCATGTCTCCAGTGGTCCTAGGGCTGGATCATCCCTAAGGACTAAAGATCTTACCAGACATGGTTGGGCCTTTTGAACAGTCTGGTGAAGAAATTATGTGTTTAGCAGTTTTTCAAAGTGGTGAAACTCTTCAATCGGTACAGATAGATGGTTTTTTTCCAAGAATCAGTCACATCAGTTCAGATTTAGATAAGTTCGACACAAATAACAATCCAATTCAACTCATACAGGATTATATATATATAGACAAAGTAAAGCAACCATCAACATCCAGTTCCGTCCTCAGTCGTGATGAAGTCGGTCATCCTGCGGGATGATTTCGCTAATTTGTGGGATTTAAAAAACGGGTATGCGTCTGATATCAACATTTAAATTACATGGAATACAAAAAAAAGGAAATTTTGAAATATCTCCCGTTATACTATACGTGGATTAGATATGCGTATGTTATATATAGATATATTATATATTCCCATAATCATATATATATATATGTGTGTGTGTGCGTGTGCATGTGTGTGTATGCATAAGTTTCTGTACATTGTGTAAAATATGTGTATATATATATATGCGTGTGTGATTATAAATGCGTACATATTATATACATTACACAACATTTTACTCGTGAATCACATTTATTAGTATCCTTGAATATATAAGATGATTGAGGTTGTATCTACAGCTGCTTGTCAGATTGTCCTGACATTCCCTGACTATCAACCATGAAAGAAGGCAATCAGAAAGTCATGAATCATCATAAATCATCCTATTTGGGCATAGCCGAATAACCAGTTTCACAACAAAACGGCGGGGGTGACTATATATTATCGTGGGTCCGACATTGATAGTGCCCCAAAAAGATCCAAACACACACTCTGATCCTGATGTTTGTTGGCAGATTTAAAGAATGACCCGTTTGCGCATTCATCCCATTGGAAAATCTTCTCCAAAGCGTCTTGCTGGGTGACCGAAACCCTGTTTCAGCAACTTTATGGGTTTCGGCATTCCAGTTCTGAGGGGGTTCATTTACAGCGGCATTCAGTGTCAGAATTGGAACATCAGAAACCACAATCGTCGTATCTACATTTGGGTGGTGGTTTCCGCCGATCCGAAAGAAAAGAACTCAGTTGGGGCTCCTCATATCTCCTCATGCCCGGTACCATGAAAAATCGAACATACACTTGAAACCCGCATATACAGCCCTGCATGACTAGGACTAGGAGAACTCGAAAGAACGAACTGCATGGGCCAGTCCACCACTCAGGACTTTCGCTCCAAATATCCTCCACCCATCTGTCAGAGCTAGCCCATTAGCCAAGCAGCAAATAGGCTACAACTGCCACGACAAAGATAAAGTATACACAGGCCAATCGTTTGCTCCTGGTCTGACTTCTCAGGATGTAGAGCATTGCATATGTGAATACGGGAATGCGAGTACTTCACTTGTAAGAATACTACATTCATGCGCGACTGTATGCATTCATATCAGCTCTGACAGCCATCGAGGTGGTTGCTTCTACCAATGAACATGCCAGTATCGTCAAGTGCAGCTAAGTACAATACATGTAACACGTCTTTCGACATAAAATCGTGCACTTACACACAAAGAGACGGATACACGTGCCATCATGTGCGTCGGCATGCATCGGCTATATCGTTTGTAGCTCTGTCTGAAAATGGCGCACCCCAAAATCCTATGGCCCTATGGTTAACACATCAGTGCTGCAGCGGCTCTGCAGGGAGACACGGCGAGGAATCTCGACCCATAACCATGGCCAGGGGTCTAGCCAGCTCCTGAGCGGCTCATTACCACCTGTCACAAGAGTTCCAACCCCTGTGACTCTGACTTTTTTAGGTTTTGAAATATAGACTTCAGATGACTTTTAGATAACCCCAGTGAAAACTGGGTGTTGGTACTTGTTGGCCACATGGTAAACGAAATGTCATACACTGACCCAAGGCCTTGCTGGTGAGATCTGGTGAGATTGGAAGAATTTACATCCTATGAGTGCCGCAATCAGTTCCATTCACCTATATTCGCCTGAGATCTTTTGAGGTAATTTCAATCTCATTGCCGGACGGTTATGCACACACCTGCCCTTTCTCTTCCCGACACAACCGAACATAACAAATGGCTTCCTGAGCAATAGACAGTCAGAGTCTGAACCAATCGTTTGGCATCACATGGGTCTGAACATAGGATGCCCACAAACTCCAATGGATTATGATCATAATCCTTCATTAACCTGTAAAATCGGTATACCCCATGTTCAATCATTTTCAAACAAACCCACATCGGCCAAAAAAAAATCACCAAGATTCGCCAAGGTTTCTCCAAAGGTCATTGGACGGCGAGGTGATGCGACGGTAGCAACCCACTTGGGCAGGGACCAGTTGACTCTGTTGACTCTGTTGACTCCCATTGTTTTGGCCTTTGAAAACCGAGGCATTTCGGAAGAAACTTGCAACACGAGTTGTTCCTCTGTTGGTGCGGTGGTGCAGCATCATCTTGATCAACTGAGCCAATTTTGTGGCA